CCAAAATCTACATGAATAGAAAGTAACCAGTTAATGAAACGATTAATGGCGGATAACAATTTTTTCTACCAAATCATTCTTACTCCACATGCTACAGATGAGACATCAGCCTATTTACTAGTCATTTCATTTTCTAAAGCAGCTATTTTTGTGCAAAAACTACAGGGTGTCCCAAAAGTATGTATCGAACGTTTGATCGTTAATAACTCTCTTCCCAAGAAGTCTTTTGCCTTGCTTTAGGTACCGTTTTGTAGAGCTGGCTTCAACTTAGATTTGCACTATAGAACGAATCATTCATCTCTCTTCATTACTGTAGGATTACGGTAGAAACTTGAAACATATGGTGTTAATGTGAAAAAAGCTGCCGTTTCAAAATTTTTCAAAAAATCGTGAAAACTTGTGTAATAGGGTTTTTATGGACGCTGAGTTCAATAATTAACTACTCACAAGATTACGAAGCTTTCTAAACGGTGCAATCCCACTTTTTAGGAACATTGAAAAAATGGCCGCTACTTCTTACCTGGCATAACTCTTCAATGAAGCATCATAATAAGTTGGGAACTTTACAGTTATAATCAGCAACTCTAATTAGCCTGGTGTAAAAGTTTTAAGGCTGTTTTGTTTCCTTTCTGGGGCAAAATATGGCCTTTCATTGTTTAAAACCCTCCTTGAAGTTTCTACCGTAATCCTACAGTAATGAAGAGAAATGAGTGATTCGTTCTATACTGCAAATCTAAGTTGAAGCCAGCTCTACAAAACGGTACCTGAAGCAAGGCAAAAGACTTCTTGGGAAGAGAGTTATTAACGATCAAACGTTCGATACATACTTTTGGGACACCCTGTATGTACATACCTAACAGCATTTTTCGCTTCTTATTCGTTGAGTCGTAGATCAAGGCGATTAAAATGACTTTTAAAATATCATCCTTGTGAGATTTCTAGAGTTCCATACTTTGATGAGAGAAGTTTTCAAAATGTCATGTTCAGGACTTTTCCAGAGTTTCATACTTTGATCAGGGAATTTTTCCTAGTTCAGACACTCTTCGATCGCAAAGACAAGATGAGAATAAAGAATTCTTCTGAAAATATATCGGAGTTGTAGTTTCCTCATCTCAACTATTTATAGAATTTGTCTGGTATCTGGCTTATGATTGCGAAAACGATCTTACACTGCTAACTGGGCAAAACTCAATCTCTCTTCATTATGGAGCTGTGTTTTGACTGACTGTAATTACAGAATATAACGTCGAATTTTAATCCATTTTCGTTTGAAAAAGCTCTACTATCCGGGCTATCATTTCTGATTTTCGAAAAAATTTTGGGTGACTTTTTTCCTCTCAAGCTTGTTTGTTCGCTTGTGTAGCGGATAGATTCAATAAGTTTTGACTCTTTCCTCAAAATCTTGCTGCCAAGGGTAACCACATGAAGAAACTTGACGGTGCGCCACTTTTGTGTAGGTAATCAAACTTATCTCTCAATTCTTCTGCAACCGAAGAAGAACCTATAAAGTGCCCAATCAAGATATCCTGACAATTTCGTTTAATTCCCTCAGAATCTGCTAGAATGAACTGCGTAGCAGGCAGGTAAAACCCAACAAAAATTGAACAGAAGAGAGTGAGAGTGAATTTTGAAGATTTTTGCCATAATATGCATGTATCTTTGCGTGCATCAACGGCAAAGTAGTCAAATAAACGAGACAAAAGGTCTACAACAAAACTAAGCTGGGGCCAAAAATTTCGTGCTTTTTTCCAGGTTTTCTAAGAAGCCGCTATGCTTGCAATATATGAACAGTTCCCAGAGCAAGAAAATCAACAGGGCTAAGGCAAAACATCGTAAGTTACTCAAAAGAAATTTTTTACGGTAAGCTTATCCCAGATTTCTTCTAGAATTCCTAATCTTTGGACTGATATTTGGTGTGATGCGATTCTTTGCATGGATTAATTGCTTCATTTGCTACGATGTGTGGGATTTTATCACGAATCCTGTTGACGAATTGGAAAGAAGGTTTGTTCTACAAAGCAATGGATTCTTGACGACAGAACAGTATAGTTTTTTTTGTTGAAAGAGAACACTGTAGTTTTTTTCTTGACGAGAAAACACAGTAGTTTTTTCTTGACGAGAGAACACACGGCTTAGCACAGGTGACTCGTTTTTTTTTGGCTAATTCGAATATTTTGGATGAGGACCAAAGAGGAGCTCGCAAAATTCTGCAAAAGTCTGTGGAGGGGGCTTCGTTTTTTTCATTTTCGGAAAGCCATCTCGTGCTGAGCCTGAGAGAACACTGTATTTTTTTCTTGACGAGAGAACACTGTAGTGTTTAATCATTCGTTATTTTCTAGTGCGCCGTGTATATTTAACATCACGATGTCTGTAACTAACTCGAGAGCTGCAAAAAAACAAGTCAGAAAAAAAAGATGGGTACTTCAGATGTGCTGGGATTTTTTTAAAATCAGGGCAGTGTTGCAAGATGAAGCGCCTGTAGCAACGAGAAAACCTCAAATATTAGGTTGTCCCGAAAGCAAACCGTATTTTTAAATAAATCAAACTGTTTTTGTTTTCCTGGCATTGGGGTACCTTTCGATAAAGCGAAGCAAGCTCTGCAAAATGACCAGCAAGGATCCGCCTAAGTTGTATTCCATATAAAGTTTGAAGCAAAAATAAAAAAAAATTTTGGTATGATATTTGAGCAGTGGCCAAGATTGGTATCGATCTTTATTTCTCGGCTAACGTTTCGGAGTACAACTCCTTCTTCGGAGCCTGAAAGATCAAACTATGCGAAACTGTTCTTGTAAGCACTCAGTCACCTAACAGATACTTTTCAACACAAGGTAGTTGCAAGATGAAGACAGAGACCGTAACCGGCAGGCCCTTGTGCGTACGGGTCAAGGAGCACCTAGACGGGCTCGAAAAATCGAAATTGTCTACCCCTCTAGGTGCCCATCGCAGGCAACGCCATGACGATCAACACTATGACGTAGCTGTCACCATCTTATCGCAGGAACCTGATACAGTAGCGCGAAAGACGTTGGAGGCATTTTGGACAGCATCAAAAAACTCCAAAAATAAACCGCAAAGAAGAGTGCATTGCCGTGACGACCGAATTAGTACCATATCAAGCTCTTTGTGGCTTTTGACCTACGGGTCTGGGTGAGGTTAGGTCATCTGTGCTGTATAAATAGTGGTATAGCAGTACACAGTAACGGCGCTATCCATTAAGTGGTCTGCTCGTAGTCTCCATTGCTGGCTATTGAGGTAAGCCTTAGCTTGTTTACGGTCTCTGTCTTCATCTTGCAACCACCTTGTGTTGAAAAGTATCTATTAGGTGACTGAGTGCTTACAAGAACAGTTTCGCATAGTTTTTGATCTTTCAGGCTCCGAAGAAGGAGTTGTACTCCGAAACGTTAGCCGAGAAATAAAGATCAATACCAATCTTGGCCACTGCTCAAATATCATACCAAAGTTATATGGACGATGCCAAGATTGATTGACAATCGAGCTCTAAGAGAAAAAAAATTTATTACCTGAAAATTGGATTTTTGCCAAGAATAGTCGTACGGAACTCAAACTTAATCATTATACAGCAGAGACATAGTAGTACTCAAATATGCCTTTACTGGATTTTTTCCGAGCTTAGAAAGCGAGAAAAAAGAGATAGTCTGAAAATGGCAAACTCCGCCCCAGCCCTCCCACATATGTCATTGCATACTACAAGCCTTACTGAATATAAACTTAATTTCACCCCTGCATGTGCTCTTATAATCGAGAATACCAAGCTTGACATTGAAAAAACCGAAAAAAGTGGCTTTTGGCATTTTGGGACCTCCTTTGTTTCTCAATTTTGAGCTCCTTAAAAATCAACCAAAAACATTTTTCGGTACTACTATGTGTCTACTGTATGAAGACCAAGTTGGAAGTCCGTAGGAATTTTCTAAAAGGAGATCCGATTTTTAGGGTCGCTGGAAAATTTTGATTTTTGAAACCAAATTTTACCTGGATAGGGACTTAGACGGTTCTTTGGTGGTCATTTTGTAGAGCTTGCTTCGCTCTATCGAAAGATGCCCCAAGACTGCCAGGAAAACATACAGAATTTGATTTATTTAGAAATACGGTTTACTTTTGGGAAAACCTAATACTTCGACTTGCAATAATGATTTTACACCAAAATTTATTGAAAACCTTTAACATGCTCTTGTATGTCGAAAAAAGCGGTGCAAACTTTTTGTATTACAAGTAATGGTTAATAATCTATCAATCCAATGATAAAGTAGAATTTGAAAACTCAAAATAATATTTATTAAAGGACATAGGTAGCTGAAAGAGTGACAGATATGAACTTTTGAGTTCAAGCCTGTAAGTGCTTAGAATTCTGCATCTCAGTTCTAAAATTTAAGAGGTCTAACATATCGAGGTATTTTCTCAAAAAAAAAAAAGAACTCTCTAATTGAATATGTCGTATTTATGTACTAAGGGGTTAGAACTAGCCCTTCGTTTTGAATCTGATTACAATCTTATTGATATCAGTAAGTCTCTTGAAGATATTTCTCCGAAGACAAAACCTGCTCCTTAGACCTCGAGTACTGCTTTTTGATACAACGTGCAGAAATAACAAAATCAGGGACTGTAAACAGACGTTTTTTTACATAAAATTCAAGCAGCCAATATTTTTGGCATTGCATTGGAGCACCTGGTAACAAGGGAGTCTTTTTCAACATCATACTGTGTTTTAATTTTTTTTCTATTCCAGAATGCACGAAACGCCAGGCATCGGTTACCAGCGACTAAGGAAGCGAGTTCGAGATCGTCCCTCAAGAAAGAGCCGAAGCAATTTATGGAATCAAGGGTCATCGGAATGGCATAGAAGAGCGTTTGGCCAACATCATCTTTGCTAGGCCAAAGCAACCCAAGCTCAAGAAATACGTTTTCACTTATATTTATTCATTACTCCTCTTCGAACCACCTCTTAAGCTTTACCCAAAAATATTCTGTCAACGCTCACTTACCTATAGATATAGGTCCTTTGTTCACTAACCACGACATCATACTTTGTTCATCGTGAGGTAGTTCAAGGGAGTCATTGATGTATACAGCTATTTCCTAAAAGAGAGGTTATCTCTTTAGAATTTTACATGAAAATTAACAACGCTGGTTCAAGCATATTGCACAATAAGAATAATATGCACCTTTCGCACAAGATGGCAAGTTTCTCCCCTTCCATCATAGGGGTATGCGTCTTCAGGTTCCAAGCCTCCCATGCGGATAATTTCCCTGAAATTATTCCATAAGTGCTGGTTCAAAATAAATCCTAAAAAAATGAAAATTTTCTCTGGTTATTCTGTTTGGAGTCCAAAACATGCAGAGATGACATAATCGGCGCTTTTTTGAACTTCAAAAACTTTTTATGTTTTACTTCAACTAGGAATGGTAAACTCATGAAATCAGATTTACGACAAAATTTGTAATTTCACTAAAATTAAACATAATATATGTGATAGGTATCGATGTATGACACATGTTAAATTTCAAACAGTAGTAAGTCTAGCGTGTTCCTATAGAGCAACTATGGACACTTTTGTACCAATGTGTTATTGGTGCATTACCGTATTCACTACCATAATCATTTGACAAGACCACCAAGTGGCGAGTAAGAATGGCAAAATTGTTGATTCAGCTATGTTTTTACCTAGCTCATACACAAATCAGCAACTCACTAAATCATCATATGCTGCTCGAGCATGGTAGCATACTGTAGCGGTGCAAAAAGAGACATTGCCTACTACACAGTAAATTCTTTATGCAATATGTCAATGGATCAGTTTTGAGGATGAGGTAGAAAATGTGGTTCGCTTTGACATGTCAGTAGTTTGCTTAGGAATTTTTTAAACTCTATGGAATTGGGACTAATCACTCACTTATAAGCCTGACTGGGAAGACCACCGTTGCATCCTTGGTCCACAGTATCGCAGTCAACTAATTCTTGCTCTGAGAGGGATACCAGCTTCTTCTTAGCCAGGAACCATTGTCCCTCGATATTTCCAGTCGTGGAGAAAGCCCAACAGCTTCCACAACTGCCTGCAAAAATATCGCTTAATGCAAGACATTTATACTAACAACTGGAGTTTACCTTGATTCTTCACTTCTGTGACTGCTCCCTTCGGTCGCCAGTCGAACGATTCGGGAAGGTCCTTGCTCACATCAATTCCTTCAGCTTCAAGATCAGCGATCTTGTTAGGCCAGATTGGCTCTTCCCAGGTATAAGGTAGATAGATCTAAATATTCCGATGTTCGTTGAGATCACCTTTCAAATAAAAAAAAATGATCACCTTTTTGAACTCCTCTGGGGTCAAATCGGAAAACTGTGTAATTCCATAAACAGCTGTTCCGTCATCCCTCTCTTGCCACATTCGAATGGTCTAAAATCTGTCGTTTTCTCCAAAAAAAAAATCACGAAATTCTGAAAATCGCAGCAAAACTGAAAGGACTCCCATGAAAAATTTTGAAAGAAAATTATCACATCTCAAATTGCAATAATCGTTAGAAGTTATCTTCCGACATAGTTAATCTACTTTGAAAAAATCACCTATCGTATAACCTTTGATTCAACTGGTTTGGCAGCTGGAAGGCGGGGCTTTCTGACCTAATTAAGGCCGCTTATGCCCGCTACGCAGTCTGTATCTTTCTCACGCGCGTGCACTCATTAACTAGCCTAAATTAGGTCACGAAGCCCCGCCTTCCAGCCGCCAGGCCACTTGAACCAAATGGTACTAATTATAATGCGAATTGCCACCGCCAAATACACAAAAAAGAAAAAGACCATTTTTCTTGTTACATACCTTTAAATTTCTTTTGAAAATGCGGAATCTCTTGAGGGTGTCGCGTTTGCTGTCATAGACCTTCTCATGCCTAGAAAACTGTTTTTTTTACTATTTCACATTAGGCAAAATAGGAAAGTCACCTGTCGAGAAAATCGCTGAATTGATTCCATGCAACGTAGTCCTTCGGTTTGATATGGCGGCTCACTTTGCTGCGATCAACAAAATCCATGGATTTCCTTGAAGATGTGTTAATTGCTTCAAAGTTTGCATGAAAAGGATCACCAAAGTTACTAACAAAAATCAATTATTGAAAAAGGCTCAAGTGTCGGGGAAGTTGCAATTAAAAATTTTCAAACGATTTTCAACTATTTTCGCTGTTCAGAATTTCGAAAGTTTGAAGCTGAACGAAATAGTAAGTTTTTTTTTACAGTGATGGGGTAAATTCGGATATCTGAAATTTTCAAGAGAGATTGACCTTTGGTTTTTCATATCATTAGAAATGTCTTGTGTTTAGCATTTTTCTCTTTTGCTTTCATTGCAACTCCTTCTTAAGAGAAATTTAATTAAACCAAATATAAGCTTCACTCAGGTGTACCTAGACTTTTTTCTAATAGTGGTGCGGACTTACTTCAGGGTGAGGGGATGGGGGCACAAAAAAATTTTTTTTTCGGATGAAGTCAGCACGCACTCCCAAAGATTTGTCGGAAAGCTTCCAAAATCTTTGCGGGCCTATGAAAAAAGTTTTAACAAGGCTAATTTGAGTTGAAAATCTAAATTACTGCAATTACTTTCAAGTATATAACTTCACTTGCACATTTTCGTAACCCATATAAATTACTTCCAAAAGTTCTGAGACCCATTCTCGGGTCATCACTGCTCTCTAATAAAAATGGAAAATAATTCCAGTTGCTCAGAAGTTTCACCTAAATAGTCATTGCTACTTGAAAAATTATCAAACAGCACCATTTCGCTCACAGCGTCAAAAGCTAACTAACTATAAATACGGAAGAATTCATGGTTTACTCAGCGTAGATTCTAGAATCCTATCCGAACAAAAAAAGCCCACAAATTATTTTTTTTATCACCCAAACTGACTTAGTCTGCCGCTTCGTCCTTCGATATGGTTCTTCGCAATGCTTCATTTCGATCTTTTCGTAGTTTTCCCAGGCTCGATGCTCTCCTTCGGCTGTGCATTTCTAAATAAAAATTGCCATTATTACCTTCGCCCTCATCCTCATTTTCTCCTCTTCCCCCCTCTATTAGAAGCTATATCTCGAATTTTCGCCCTGACGGAAACTTCCGAAAAAGAAGAAAGGCTCAATGATGTTTGTGCTCAGTTTTTGACGAAGCTGTGAACTAATCCCTTACTCGACGACGCATTCATCAGCAGTCGTAACCGCAGGCAACTGGCGGTAAACAAAGTAAAAGCACCAACCTTCAGTCGATCCGTATGTTTACAGTCTGTTCGAGACAGCTGCCTACCCTGAAAATTGAAAAGATAAGCGATGACTGGTGAGAAGAAGAACGTATGTTCTTTGATTGAACGATTGTCACTCTGTTGTTAGAGCTGACAATGACAATTACTCTAGACATTCCTAAGCCATAAACATGCATTACATCATAGCAATAGGCCAATCATCAGCTTTGAGAAAAAAATTAAAAGTTAAGACGCCAATGATCCTTTCGAGAATAAAATAGTCCCGATTCCCTCAAATCTAGCCCCTACTCTGCTCTCACTCCCAATCCCAAAGATTACGAGAACATAATCGTCCCTGTGGGAACTGCATCCCAAATTAATCGCGCAAGCTTTCTGGGTGATAAATTCTTGATCAAGAGGCAGAACGATTTCCAAAGATATTTAGCATCAAAGCTTCAAAGAAGCCGCTATTCAACAGTTTGGACCTCTGGGAAAATTAGTCACGCTAAGAAGAAGAGATTTATGAGTTTCGCACACATCGACTGGCAAAATATCTTCTTGACAAGATCTATGCAAAAAAATTTTACATCTGGAAAATGCTGCTACAAGATTAATTAGATTTTTGTGCAGATATTGATTGCCAAAATTCTCATTTGACATGCACAGATGAATTTGCAAAGTTAAAATTGCTTCCACAAATTAATCCGCCTATTCGGAATATTTAGAAAGGTTCAAGTCCATTTGGATCATTTCCAAGCAATTGGATCATTTCCAAGCGATTGATGAATTTGAAATTTGAGAAAAACCAACTCAAATCATTGAATTTACTAGTAAAAACCAAAATTTTATAAACGGCAACAAATTGTATGCTTTTTGAATTCTGTTTTATAATCAAAGTATCGTTCAAAGAAAATAGTTTTTGAGGAGAAGAAATAAATAAAATTGTCTCCCACATATTTTCTTCTCATATTTCTAAACTTTCTATTTCTATCTAAAATTGCAAAAAATTACAGTTACATGTACTTTGATCGTGCTGATTCGATTTAACAGAAAATTGCAAACAGCATACATCAATACATTGTCTTCAAGAAGAAATTGCAAAAATGCACGAAATCGTTTCTACCACTGTATCTTGTGAATTTTCTGTGCACTTACCGTCTTTCTGCAGTCAGTTTGCACCAGGGTCAATTGTATTTGATACTGTATTCCATTGTACATCTGTTGATGTACTTGATCAATCGAGTAAACATCCCAACGATACAAATCATTCGATCGAGCATTCAAATCTTCGACGGCTTTTCGTGCCAGATCCTAGGGAAAAAAATCGTAAACACGCAGAAAACTCTTAGAAAGAGGCTGACGATGTTTACCTGGTGCACCTCCGTCAATGGGTCTGGCTTCTCTGGCTCATGTATAGTGCCAGCTAGAATTTGAGGAATAAGCAAAACTACCCATGGAATCATTCCTGGAGAGAAGGAAAATTTGTTGCAAATGGAAAATCCAAGGCACGCTTACACAAAATTGCGATTCTAGGAAATTGTTATCGATGATGCATGATAAAGCTAACAAGAAAGTCCACGACAAAAATGAAAATCTTCGTTCTAAAGTCGAAAAAAAATTTTTAAGCCTGACAAATCCTGATTTTTCCAAGACTCTCCTTCAAATCTTCGTATCCCCATTGTCTTCCCCCTTGAGGACCTTATTAGCCTAGCCTGAAATGACAAGCGCCATAGGAGAATAACAGCCGTCTACCAGAAGGCATAAATGACATGCATCTCTTATCCGTAATGGAGGCCAAGGCGAAATTATAGAGCAAACGCTGAAGGGGAAGTGGGGGGTGGGGGAGGGAGGGGAGGAACTGTACAGAATCGCAAAATCTTGTAGCTTTCGTTGATTCATCAAAAACGCCATGCATAAATGAGTAGGAGAGCAAAAAGTTACAAATGAAAAAAAGAGAATGTAAGGGTGTTTCAAGGTGAATTTTATTCTCAAGGTAACTTTACCCACCGTGAAAAGAACATCTGTTAAAAATAAAAAGATGCTCTAACTACGAAGTGTTCTGGAAAAGGCTTTTAAATCAACTTAAGGAAGGAGTGAGATAAATATCTAATGGATAAAATGAAAAGTGCTGACAAAATTTCATGCAATTTCTCATCCGCTACCCCATTCTCAGCAAACAAAAAGACAACCAAATGAAAAGAAAGTAAGAATTCCATACTCACGAAAAAATACGTGAGCATATGTTCAGAAAAATCGCAAACGTTGAGAAGGGAATTCAAGAAAGAATCTAGAGGAAGGAAGGAGGACATTCTAACGTAAACAGAATGATTGATCAATGGCTATAAAGAAAGAGAGGTTCAACATCGAAAACCTTTGAAACAAATCCAATTTTCGAGTTACATTGTAAAAATTCTAAACGATACGTTACTAAAAGCAATTAAGTAGAACGATAGCGATTTAAATCACATTAAAATGATATTCGTATTGTGTCATAGCCTAGAAAGAGAAGAGAAAATGGATCGATGACAAATGCTAACAGCTGATATTAGTGATCTCTCAGTATTGCTGATATTTCTGCTGATAGGCAAAAATCAAAAGTCTGGAAACCAGAAGATGGATGACGTGAATTTTACTCAAAATAGGCATGTTTTACAAAAACCTGCAGAATCTTTTTAGAGTTTACGTTCCACCATATAGCCATGACGAAAGATTATTGAGAATAGAATTTCCAGGGACATACGGGGTGGCGAGCAATGCCATAATCGTAAAGGAGCAGTGCACTAAAACGGACAAACCGGTTTCTATAACGGGAAAAGACTTTCTTAGTTGAGAAAAAGCGCCTTCTGTTTTGAGAATATCGCAGTAAGACAATGAGCTTATGGATTCAAATGCCAAATTCAAGGGTTTAAAAAACCTGCAACAAGTTTTTTTGAGACAATAAAAATTAGCTCTAGTTTTATCAAGATAGAATCATAATAAAAAAGATAAGAGTGAAGGAATGACAGGGAAATGGGTAAAATCCTGTAAAGAGATTTTTATTAATTTGTTGAATTTCTGCGAAATATAATCAGTATACGACTGCTGTGAACAGATCGCTCTGCCTCTCACATTTTCTGTAATTTGGGAAGTTTTCTTAAACATCTTATGCTTTCCAAATTTTTCTCTTCAAATATTTTGAGTTGCAGATGAAAAAAATTATTTCAACGTTCATACGAGGTGTGATGACCCCTCAGACTTGAAAAGTGTGAAACATTGATGAATACAGATTGTACAGTTTTTTTTTTGAGGAAAATCGTTGCAATTTTGAGAAGGATGAAAAGAAGCACGAAACAAAAACAAACCATCAAAAAAGCAAATCAAAACCTCGCTTGCAAAAGAAAAGAAATTGGGATGAAAAAATCGCTTAAGAAAGGGTTTTCTGGACCAGCCCGATGCTAATTCGCTGAGATGAACTGAATGGTAAGAGAGCAGCAATTGAGCGGAACACCTGCTGTCTGGGCCCCAGACACCGTGGGTTGTGACGGCCAGCTGGGAGGTACGAGTGCCAAGCAAGTGACCATCCGACCCACCCGACGAAGGGTCACATGCTGAGGCGAATGATAGCAGAGGCCCTGTATCGTATCAGATTTCAAAGCAAATGCGTAAATAGACGATGGTGATGTATGATCAGAGGAGAGAAATGGAAAATTGAAATAGAAGAAAAGAAATTTGACTACATGCTATCTAAGCTTCCTTCCAAAGGCGAACATTGAGTGCGTTCAAATAGAAATAAGAGACAAAGAAAAGTGTAGCAAAACATAGAGATACGGCTACATGCCTAATTCCCATTCAATAACGATCAATAAGAACATTCAGATAGACCTGGTACTTTGCCAAATAAAAAACATCAACGAATTCATGGAATTTTCAAACCCATCACCAAAATCATGGAAATTTTCAAACCCAACTTAGGTCTCCCTTAAAAGTTGTACACTTCTCAAATGATTTCGCCAAAGTTTGTAGCGGCAAAAATCTGTAAAAATTTGCTTATGTGGAGTCAGCGAACGGCAGTGAGTTGAATTTGCAATTTGTTCAAATTTGTTCAGATAAGTTTCGATAAGATACTTAGATTTGTAGGCGGGGCTCGGCACAGGTGGCGTACAAGCAAGCCTTTATCGTTTTTGGGACAAAAAGCAAAGGGGGTTCGCTTTTTGTGGCCGAAAAGACACAAACTTTGCGACGCTTTTTTGGTCGACGCCGCTTCGTTTTTGGAGATTTTAAGGAGATTGTGATTTAGACTCAAAGGGGACTTCGTCTAAATTCGCAAAAGTCAAGGGGGACTTCGTTTTTTGCATTTTCAACTAGACACCTCGTGCCGAGCCCTGTTTGTAGGGAACGAGGTACGAGTAAATAAATGAGGAAAATTCAGTTAACGAAACAGGAATGAGGAATTGAATGACGGGTTAAAAGCAAAAAGCCATTTTGTAGAAACCGCACCCAAAGAAACTCAGTCAACTGGTAAGAAAATCAAAAATCCCAATCGAGAAGGTTTATGATTTCATGATAAGTCATTCAGTGTTATAATCGAAAACCTATCACTCCAAAAAATTGTTATAAAAAAGACATCTACGTTTAAAAACTTTGGTCTCCGGACAGATACCTCCTCATGTATTATTCGAGAAATGTCCTAAACATCACACAGAAAATGCAATTAACTTAGGAGAGGAAAGAATCCAGAGGATGCCGAGCAGGCCCTGCCGAATGGCTGTCATGAATCATTAGCAAAAAAATAGGGAATACGACGCAGTGATTGGAAAATTGTGATTGATGTGAGACTAATACATTTATAATACGATTTCTAAGAAGGTGGACGTATATTACGTACTGGAAATGCAGAGAAAGTAAAAAGTCTTAACAGTAAAGTAAAATAAACTTTTTCGCATCATCAAAGGGCAAAGCTACGGATTACGCAGCTAAATTCGATTCTGCCTAATAAAGTTTGCATCGTCAATTTCCTAGCTAAGCTCCTAGGGCAGAAAAACTAGAAATCGCATCCCCTGCGTATAATTTATCTCGTTTCCTCTGACATGTGAGACTCTCAATATTAGCAAAATCTATCGTGCAAAACTCTATTGCTTTCATTAGAGAGAAAAGCTAACAAGTTAAATAAGCAGCACTGAAGGAGGGATTTCTTTTTGCTTTTTTGAAATGATATATTGCCTTATTTTTATGAATTTATGAGATATGAGTGTTCTATGGGTCGAATGAAGAGGTATCCAGATAACAACAGGTAAGTGATGTAATGGTCCGAGCGATTATGTTTATTAAAAAAATTAAATTTCAAGTGAGCTTGAGAAACGGACAGATTGCGTAGCTTAAGCGCATGGAAGTATTGAATGTAGCATAACACTTAGCAGTGATGGCGAAAACAGCCACTTCACCTCCATTAGAGCCTACGAAAATAGAATCTGCGACTAAAAAAATTCATTCACAAGTCTGGGAAAAATCTAAATAAACAGTAAACAAATCGTAAATTTGAGTGTTCTCGACACGCAATGCGTGTTCGAGTTTTCATTGCAGAAAAGGGTCAACTGAATTAGTAGAAAGTAGAAGTGACAACAGTGGCAGAAATTTCGGAGGAAGTGGGAAGGGCCAGAAAGCCATGCATTTTATGGAATTTTTTTTTTGCAAAGCTAATTTTTTTCGGCAACAAAAGAAAAAAACTTATTTACACGATTTAGTAGGACATGTTTAGCTCGCAAATAAATTTTGCGACCATTTTTGGAAAGGAGGATTCCCCTTCAACCCGCTATGGGGGGGGGGGGGACATTTGTTGTGAGAAGCCACTGAAGCACAGCCGTGAGCAAAGTAGTAGAATGCGCTCACATACATAATGAGTTCACTGCGAGCGCATAAAAGATGATTGGTGGCAAGAAGATGAGAAAACAGATGGATTTGATTTCAGAAAATATGATACTCTCTTATATCTCCAGATAAAAGCATTTTTTTCTCTAGTTCCGCTTGAATAATGCCTCTGCATTATTGACATAATGCGCATTGTCTGACTTTGACAATCTCACGCAGCCAACAATTTTTTTTACCAGACCCGCTCTATATATTACAATCATTCTTAATCCAGTCATGCATGCATTGCTCAGCATTCAGTGTTTGCTGTTCGTAGTTTTCAAATGAAACTCAGCCTGTGAATTCGAAAAAATCGAGTTAGTGTAAAGGGGGTAAATCCAAGATTCTGATGTGTTTTTGCTTAACTGGTATGAATAAACAGGAAAAGTTCAACACATACGAGTTTCTGTCTAGAATAAAGTAATGGGCCAGTAGTCAGCAGTAGTCAGCACAATAATAGCCAATGGGTTCAAAAGTTCCAGAAATTTCTGAAATGTTGTAGAAAAGAAGTTTCAAGAAATTGTGTTCGTTTTTCTGCCATCATAGTCCGATGATGTAGCAGTATAAGTCCGAGAAATTTCTTTCGCAGGGGGGGGGGGGGGAGCAGGAGGAGGAGGAGGAGGAGTACGAGGAGGAGGACAAATTTCCTCCCATTTCAGTGGGGTGAATTCAGCAGCCGTCCAGAAAATTTTGGAATGCTTCTGGAGTATTTTTCTGGCCTATAATCTCGAAATTATGAAGAAGGGAACGTGGCGGTACTTTTGCAATACTTTTTCTTGCAGAATTTCGAATTTAAAAAGTATTAAAAAATATTTGATCATTAGGAAGTAAAAACAACTGCATTGCTTCATGATCCATGCTAAATGAAAGTAATTTAGCGGCTAAATGTGATATTATGTGGTAACCAAGGCGAACCTGAAGCCTTGAAAAGCAAAAAATATTGTCATTTCTCTGGAGTACAAAATCAGCTGCAACTTGAATAAACAAGCATGAATTAGAAAATACCTTTTCTAGAAGGTCTGAGCTAGGAACCTCTTAACAAGTAAACATTACCTCTGATATATTTATGTAATTACTTTTGTAGGTTCTATAGATTTTTGCCCTAATTCCTGATAACCTTGGCAGGAATTTATCACTATGCGAGGCGAGCATAAATGAAGCTATAAACTTGAGTGATATATGGCTGCTATGAAAAAAACCTTTAGATTAAAACTGCTGACTGCACGATCCGAACAATCAATGAACTTTTCGAATGAATGAAACCTAGCAGTGACCGAAAAAGCTTGTTTTTGACTGAAAACAAGCATGTCTCGTGATGTGAAAAACTGCCAAACATCGAAAACGCGAAAATCACAGCAAAAACAGCTTCGGCTATACACGGCGAGCAAAAGTGCTTCAATTTGTAAAAAGTATGTTAAGATGATCCCCTGTTTTCAGTGTCAGAAGAAAGCTATTAGTGCTGAGAAAGCTACAATCAATAGCCCTAGTACTTGAACTCAAGTGCATTCGCGACAAAGTAACACAACACTTGCCCAACGCTCGAACGCAAACTAGATGTTTGTATTGCTTTCAAAAGAAACACTGAAAAAAATTGGGCGTGAGCCAGTTAAAGTTTGACGCACAGTCATCCTTGTTTAGCAAGTGTTTATTCAATTGCAATACCTTCTAAATTTGCGCCAAGGCTCGGCACGAGCTGACACTAGAAAAATTTCAAAACGAAGTCCCCCTTTGATCTCGAAAATTTCGTACGAAATCATCTTTGACCCTAAATCCTAAGTGTAAAAAATCCTAAAAAGTCACAATTTTCGGTCACAAAAACGATATCCAGCTTGACCCGGTGCGAGCTGTGTCGAGCCCTGGTTTGCGCTACTACAACGACATTATGGATACGCGATCTTTTTTTACTCTTGCATGCTTTTTCTACTTGTAAGAAAGAAGGAGCAAATACATCTTTATCGAAAATTATCAGGTAACGAGCGGCATCCCAGATACCACCCCGTTTTGAAGCCATTCGATCGTGCTTCATCTCTCATGTAGCGAAGCTTACCCTTCTTTTGATTCCGATTCGTCTTATATTCCAACCATCCTTACCATATCTTGATGATCACCAGGTCAAAATGAGATTCACCGCTCATCCTTTATGACTATGGGAATGCACAGACACACAAACACACAGATTTTCTGCTTTATATAAACAAGCTGACACCCCGAGTTCCACCTCGGTTTGGAGCCACTCCATCATACTTTGATCCCTCATGTGTCGAAATTTACCCTTCTTTCGATGCGACTCCTCTTGGGTTCGCTTCCTATCGTCCTTACCATAATGACCAGCAGGTCAAAATAAGCTTCACCGCTCACCTTTCATGACTATTAGGAACGTGCACAAACACACAAACACAGATTTTCTGTTCCATATATATAGAGATACAGAGATATGATCTGGGCACGCAAAGAGTCGCTACGCGCCAATTATTTTGTCTTCTGCTGTATTCATCACAAGTGATCTAATGCCGTATCTGCCTTTGTGTTATCTATAAAATGTCAGCAGTGGCGTACCGAGGGGGTGGGGCGCCCCCCCCCCCCCCAAGAACGGATCGCGAAATTTTTGAAAGTTACTTACATGGGTTACAAAATTGTGCAAATGACTTGTCTGCACTTGTAAATAACTAAAATAATTTTCAAAATTTTTTAAAAATTCATTTTAGCCCTATAAAAAAATTTTTTCGGGGGCGTGGCTGACGCCACGCCCTCTTTTTCCAGATTTTAGGGGTTGGGGACCCACAAAAATTTTGAGAAGCACCCCAAAAAAATTTTCGGAGTGCGTGGCTAACGCCACGCACCTTCATTAGAAAAATTTTTTGTCGTCCCCCCTTCCCCCCGAGCCGAAATCCTGGGTACGCCACGTCTGCAGATATATAGGCAGCCTCGTAGTATAAATGCTGCTCATTTTTTACTCGAGTCAGAAGTTCCCAGCAGTCACACTGCTACATTGGTAACACATAAATGAGTAACACTCTTCTTCCAAGTTTTTTACCTCCACAAAGGACGTTCAAAACAAGCACAGTCTTCCACATCGAATACGCATGTGGAAGACTGTTTGTCGGAGGAAACGTAGATTAGAGTGACTGACTACTTCTAGGCCTCCGACGACGGCATCATATGGAATACTGTTTTTCGATGGTTTTCTCGTCTTGACACGGAACAGTAGGGTATTCTCTCGAGTTTTCTTTTTCGTTTAATTTGTACATCGTCTCATCATTCTGCCATCACGGCATATTTTCATGGTTTTTTTGAACCTGTTGATAAATTCTTGCGCTAGCAATCCCTTTGCTTGCACCACATAATTCACGCCATACACATCTCTTTTTTTATATTCAAACCAGTGCTTCACCTCTGCTTCGCAGAGGTTCGCACTGGCATCGTGAACCGTGGTAAACTCACTTTCTGAGAGCTTGTCTCTCAAATCATTGTTCGGTTTATTGCAACGTGAGCTGTAGTTAAAAATGAACCATACTCGCTATCTTAACCTCACATGATGTTTAGTATCGTAAATCATTCCTCACTGTAATTTCGTAACGGACAAACTCCACACAACTTCAGATTAAGCCGCTTATTATAAGTCATGAATAATACTTATTAGATACTTAGATGGCCCGGCTTCACGTGACGTGCGGGCTCCAGCTCAGAAGTTTCCATTTCTCCCTGTCCTCGCTTCAGACATCCACGATCTTCTTGGCTGACGTAGGTGGCTGCGTCCACGGGTTCCAGGTGCAAAAATCGTATCTAGCTGATTTCTCAGCTGGTCCATCCGTTCCACAAACACGTCTGCCCATCTCGTTGGAGGTCTTCCTCGAGGACGTTTTGCTTCGCGAGGAACCCACTCCGATGTTCTTAGTGTCCATCTGTCGTCTGTTCTTCTCATAATGTGACCGGCCCATCGATGCTTCGCTTTCGCAACGTAATCCGCTGGGTCACGAAGACGGGACATTCTCCTCATATCCGTACTGCGAAGTCCGACGGGATGTTGTTTGTGTCGCGTCATCTTCAGAAGACTACGCTGCAGCGCGCCGTGGGTGGTCCTTGAAGCTTTCGAAGTGGCCACGGTGTCAGCCCAAGTCTCAGCTGCGTAACAGAGCGCCGGGAGAACGGCTGAGTCGAACAGGTGGACACGAAGCTCCGGGTCCGTCAGTTGGCGGCTTCCTTCAGAGACCCGAAGGCGGCCCAGGCTGCTCTTCTTCTCCTGTGAAGTTCTTCCCTCAAGTCATTCTCCACGTTCATCAAACGTCCGAGATACACGTAAGAAGACGTCCCCGTGATAGGGTTGCCTTCCATTTCCATTTCTGCATCTTCGCAAAGAGCGTTCTTCATGAACTGAGTCTTCTTCCGATTGATTCGCAATCCGATCTTCTTCCCTACTTCGTTCAGTTCCTTCAGCATCGTCTCTGCTTCAGTGATAGTGCTCGAAAAGAGAACGATGTCGTCCGCAAAACGAAGGTTCAACAGGAATCTTCCAGCAACTCGTATGCCTCTCTCGTTTCATTACAGTGACTTCATCACTCACTGCAAGGCCGCGGTGAATAGCTTCGGCGAAATTGTGTCGCCTTGTTGGACCCCCTTCCCAAATGGAATAGTCGGGGGCGATGGAACAGCTGCATCGTCGTTGTACAGTCCTTAACAATCGGCTAACGTCCTCACGTAAGCTGGATCCACTCCTTGATCGACTAGCGCAGACATGGCGTTGGTTTCGACGCTGTTAAAGGCTTTCTCGTAGTCGACAAAGATTAGGACGAGAGGCAGTCGGTATTCCTAGCACACTTCTATAACCCTCGAAACCGTCTGGATGTGGCCCATGCAGCTGAATCCTTTGCGAAATCCAGCTTGTTCTGGGGGTTGGGCTTCATCCAGTGTCCTAGATATCGAGCGAGGATAATCTTCGTGAAAATCTTGTACAGCACTCAGCAGGCATATTGGACGGTAGTTCCGAAGGTCTTCCCGTTCACCATTCTTGAAAATGAGGACGGTTCTTGATGTTCACCACTGGTCGGGAGTCCTTTCTTTCTGAAGGTAAGATGTTAGGTGCGACGCGAGAATCTCGTGTAGACGTTGTCCTGCAGCTCGCAAAAGTTCGACGAAAAGATGGTCTGGTCCTGGAGCCGTGGACGTCTTCATGGTCTGAACCGCTGTGCGCACTTCAGCAGGTGGAATTCTTGGTGGTACTTCTCCAGTGGGAACAACGGGCATCGGCACGGGTGCTGATGAGCGGAAGAGGTTGGTATAGAAGTTCTTCGCGATAGATTCCATCTATCGGGGAGAAGTCGGAATCCCGTCTTCGTTTAATAGCGCAACCAGCGGTACGTGATATTCACAGAGGTCTCTTCGGCACTTCTTGAGACTTCATCTTCCTTCGGCTGCTTCCAGTATCTTGGCTTGCCTGTACTTCCTGAGATCCTCCTACAAAGCTGGCTCCAAGCTGCAACTGGCGTTGGTTATCAGTTGCTCGAGATGGGTGGCATTCGGATCCTGCCTCAAAAATCTTCTTCTTTCGAGCATTTCCTTGGTGGTCTTCGACATGCGTTCCACGTTCTTCTCGGAAGTCACTGAGGCGCACTCTCCGCAAGCTCGCAATCCTTTCAGAAGCCTGTCGTAGTCGTACGTTGGTTCCTCTTCGATGGGCCAGTCACAACTTGATATGAGCTCCTCCAGCCTGTCACCGTCATAAGCGACATTCTTCCTTCTTGCGGCACTGTTGGCAGACCTACTTTTCCAGCCTTCGACTGAATCGTACCTTCGCTCGAAGGAGGCGGTGATCGGAGCCAATGCAGAAAAATGGAACTACTGAGACATCGAGCAAGCTCCACCTTCGGTTGATGAGAATGTGTTCGATCTCCGCATGAGTCGTTCCGTTGGGCGATTCCCAAGTCCACCGGCAATGTTCTGTCTTCATGAAAATGGAATTTCCATGGAAAAGTCGTGCGGCGGAAAGAAGCCCAACAAGACCGTTACCGTTTTCGTTCCGGAGCCCATATCCAAACTTCCCGATCCTATATTCGTTTTCCAGTGGCATCTCGATTTTCGCGTTGAAGTCGCCCACAATAAACTTATGAAAGGACTTCTCGTTGCGGACGACCTCCTCCACATCTTCGTAGAAAGCATCTAGTTCTGAGTCGTCAGCTGCTGATGTTGGCGAGTAGCAGTTGATGATGCTGATGGTCTTCTGACGTGGAGGGTGTAGTTGTAGGATGCCTAGTCGAGATGATAGGATCTCGTGCGAATCGACAAGATGGACGATAGATGGGTGGACGACAAAGCCGACGCCTCCCACGCTTCGTGATGGAACTTTTTTACCACGAATGATGAGGGTCCGTCCCATTGCTCATCTGTCGCATGTCCTTCTTCCTGGACTTCGTTTCTTGCAGAGCGATAATGTGGTACTTGATGTGCTCTGCAACGTCGAGAAGAGCGGGAGGTCGGCATTTGCGCCGACCTCCACGCTCTTCTCGACGTTGCAGAGCACATCAAGTACCACATTATCGCTCTGCAAGAAACGAAGTCCAGGAAGAAGGACGTGCGACAGATGAGTAATGGGACCCTCATCATTCGGTCCGGGCAAAATTTCGCCTCTCATGTTTCTGCCATTCTGGGGCCTTTCCGTGGCTCTGATTACAGTTGTAAAGTCCAAATTGTTCAAAACTCCCAAAAAACCAGTTCTTGGGGACCCTCTCTTCAAGGAGCGGACGAGTTTCATTTGTTCGTCCCCATCGTCATACCAGCGGGAGGAGCTGCAACTGCACGGATGCAGTTGCATTGCAGTGTGCAGTGCAACTGCAATGCAACTGCAATGCAACCGCACACCTGCGTAAGCACTCGTCCTCAGGGGTGGTTTGTGATACGAAGGGCGGCTTGTGATACGTCACAGGCCCGTATCTCCTTTTAGAGGGCACGTCAAAGGATTAGACCAACGCAGATCGGATACTCATGGGCCCCTTTCTACAACTATATGCTAATCTGGGTGGATGGATCTTGCCTGGACGCTGCCTTTAAATAAATTAGGTTGTCCCGAAAGTTTTGTCGGTTTTTTCAAACCACTATAAAACCACGCACAGTAAAGATATGAACGAGTTTCAAGGTGCATTCGATGCATCTTTTCCTCCCCTTTCTTAGGATACATTTTCGGACCACAATCTTGCACGCTTTTTTTGATAATTGCCAAAACACTACACCCGTCAATTTTACCTGCTCAAAGTTAGGCTAATTTTTGAAAATTTCATTCTAAAGCTTCGGAAAGGCTTGAGATATAGCAGATATAGCAGTTCTCGGACTACAAATTAATATTTTTGGGTTCTCCTAATCTGCTGTTTTTAGCTCCAAAAAACTATTTCTTCGGAGGCTTTCATTTTTAGCAAAGTCACGAAACACGCAGCCGCAGCAAAAGCAAGAAAACTTTTAGGGTTTCCGCGAATTCAAGCTTGATTGCTATTAAACATCATTTATGACATAACCAAGTTTGATTTGCTTCAAAAATCAGCTTTTTGGGATTTTCGGCACTTTTACGTGGTAAACGTAATCAAAAAGCTGCGGTTTTAATTAAATAAACAATCAAAGGACTTAATAAACGTGGACCACGTAATCTAAAATTGGTACAATGTAGCCAAAGGTTTGCTCTACATAACAGTAATCAGCACTCTTCGAAAATATCAGTATAAAAGTCTTGAAAATTCAGGAAAAATTTGGCGCTACTGCTGAGGTCTCAAAAAGCCATGGTGATAACATCACAAAGACGAGGTAGATCAGAAAACAAACATAGCTGTAAGAAAGAGGATAAGAATCTGAATAGAATGATGCCTAGGTCGTTCATGGATCGGTGTTCTGTGAGTTTTGCAGAGCGATGAAAAAAAGCGACAAAACTTTCAGGACGACCTAATATGATCTTTGTAATTCTGCATATTCTGCGACTAGGTATATGATCATGATGTGCTCCAGTGCAGAATTCAAAACTGATTTGCTCAAACTGACTGAAAAGATGTTTACAGCAAACCTTGCTGTTATCATGTATATATAAGGTTGCCCTAAAAGTAAACCCCTTTTTGGATAGTCAAGCTGTTTTTGTTTCCCTGGCAGACATAGAATACCATGCGGTGAAGCAAAACAAGCTCTACAGATTGACTCCTAAAAATCCGCCTAAGCCGTGATCTAGGTAAAATTTTGATCGAAAAATTTTTATCACTTGTAAATTAGATTTTTGCGGCGATTCATCCTGTGGACCTCCAATTTGGTTGTCATATAGTAAACAAGTGGTAGCACTTAAAAATGCATTCACTGGATTTTTTCTATGAACAGCGAAAGCGAGAAAACAGTCAAAAGTTTCATTTGCGAATGGCAAACTCGGCCCCATCTAAACTCAAAATTTTAGATCTGTATGTACCCCGGTAATCGAGAATTATCAAGTCTAACATAAAAAAACCCGAAAAAGGCGACATTTTTGCATTTTTGGGCTATGTTTATTTCTTAATTTTGGGCCTGAAAAAGATTTACCAAATGCTATTTGGCACACTGTGTAATCAAGTTGATGGTCTTTAGAATTTTTTGGAAGGGGATCCGGTTTCTAAGGTTTGAAGAATTTTAATTTTTTGGCGTCAAATTTTATCGCGGTTACGACTTAAAGGCAGCGTACACTCAAGACAAATGCAACAGATGTTGCAACAGCAACTGCAACTGCAATTGCAGCTTACGCTGTTATGGATTCGTCCGGAGGAGGCGGAGCGAAAGAAAAGGGGCGGCGTGAAAGAAAATTGAGGGGGGTTTTCCCCGCTCAGAAGCAACATTGGGAGACCGGACCAACGCAGTTGGTCTTCTTCTGGGCCCAGTATATACACGGTGTAGAAAAATCTAGAAAATTAGGCAACTTAGATTTTGGGTGTACGCTGCCTTTAAGCACTTTGGTGCTCATTTTGTAGCGCTTGCTTCGCTCTACCGAATGGTACCCTAAGTCTGCCAGGAAAACAAGAACAGCTTGATTATTTACAAGAAGTCTACTTTTAGGACAACTTAATTATAGTAATGGTAGTAATTTTTGCGGTGTTCATAGTCAGCCTTCATTTGCCTTTAACAGTGAGTTTTTTTTCCAAATAGCATTTCAAAACTTTTTATTAGGCTGTAAACTAAGTTTTGCAACTGGTTTCATAACTTCACTCTCTTTGGATATGGCGCACTCATACTTTGGCTTTATGTAGAAAGTAATGTGCTAAAATTCTGAACACGAAATAGAAAAGTTTCACGCATTTTTCAAAAACTAGTGAAATTTGAGAATTTTTGGGGTTTTGCTAAAATGAAGCCTTTAGCAGCTTAGACCATGCGCACTAATCCGGATTCGTCTACAAATTATTGCTGGAGGTTGACTCCTTTGGCCTAGTGAGAAAGAAACAAGATTTAGGGGCATGTCGAAATTTGGCGTCCTCACAAAATCGAACGAGTCGATGTACGCAAGAGCTGCTGGGGACGACTGTCAATGACTAATAGTAAGGATATTTGACCTGCCAAACGCGAATATCACATTCATTTGTTAAATCAACGCCTCTTTCCTTGTTTAGGGTGAGACCCCATATCGTACACCTACAGTAACCCTACAAAAAAGCCCTTATCACGCAATTTCACTATCGTTTCCGTGATCAGCATGTCGGGTAACCCCCCCCCCCCTATGCCAAGTTTCAGCCAAATCCGTCAAGCTTTGAATTCTTCCCCTTCATACCATATACCTACCGTAACCGTCATTGTGACGTCAGAATTTGGTAGAATAGCAGCTGCACTTGTAGGTTATGTAGTAACCTACACAATGGCAAAATTTGGATGCTCATGTTGGGAGAGAGTGAAGTTATGAAACCAGTTGCAAAACTTAGTTTACGCCTAATATATACCCAACAATACATTTACATAATATCCAAGTGTCTTTTTCTCAATATTGAGTTTTCAATGAACCTATGAGGACCTGTTTAGCAGAACCGGCACTCCAAAAATGGCTTCAATTTTGCTCTTCCGCTTCCAAGATTAAGGGTACAACCAGCACTCGGTCCGTGGTGGCTAGTTGAACCCTAGACCATAATCCGTAAAAAATCTCCAAAAACGAAACGTCGACTAAAAAAACGTCGCAAAATTTGTGTCTTTTCGGCCACAAAAACGAAACCGCTTCTGCTTTTTGTCCCAAAAACGATATCCAGCTTGCGTATAAGCCACATGTGCCGAGTCCAGGGAACAACATCGAAGAGCTCGTGCAAGAAGTCCCTGCCTGACCGACCAGTCGAGATATGCGGGATGAACTCCGGATTCTATTGACCATGATAACAATGGAGCAGATTTCCACGCTCCAAGACTTGTAAATGGTACCAGAGTAATCTGTGAATAGAAGCACTGACTTGTTAAAGGCCGGACCCACACGCACTCAGTTGCTTTTTCGACAACGCATTATGCTGGCACATGCGGCGATGGGTGTTAAAGACGCCAGGTTCTTTCCTTCATCTCTCCATAAAAACACCAAAGACGATTCAAAAGCTATCTTACCTTGACATAAGGAATGTAATTATTCATGTTGTTACACGCGCAAAGTTCAAACAAAATTTCTCAAGCATCCAAAAGTCGAACTTTTGCTCAAAAATCATACAAATCTCCAACTTGCTCAAGAAAATCACTTATCACGTCAGTCATTCATATGTACTGCACTAATCTCCTGGCTAGAAAATGAGGAACTGGAAATTGACGCGCTTCAGCATAGGCAACTGTGGAATCCTGACATTGACTCTATATACTAGGGCTAGTCAGACATAACAGAATTAACATAAACCTTCTCACCCTCTCCAAAAGAAACGGCATTTTTTATTTTTGGTCCTTTTCTATTTATTTATTTCCAGTCTTAAAAAAATCCGCTAAACCCATTGAATGCCTGATGTGGGTGCTATATGTGTGACCAAATTGAAGGTTTGCAGGATGTTTCTAAAAGGAGTTGTGATTTTCAATTACTTAAAAATTTTTAGATTTTTTCAAACTTCACGTAGATTGCTTTATGCGACAAATTTATCTTGTAAAGACTGCTTTGCTTCAACAAATGATATTAGGTTGGCACGAAAGTTATTGCGTAATTCAAACAAAATTCAATAACTTTTCAAAGACTAAACCTAAATTCACAATCTTGTATGTTAAAAATATTAAAAGCCTTAAGCTTCATGATGGACGTTTAAGCATAAGATTCCGTGAGCTGGACATCAAGAACGAAGCTCTCGAATATGGGGCTTCAAATTTTGCGATTTTGAGTTTGGTGCCAGAAAATCGCAGAGCGCCGCTAGCTAGCCGAAAAAAATCTTTAGAATTTACTTACACAGCAAAAGTCCATACGTTATTCAGCAGGCTTTGATCTCGCATGGAAATTTGTGAAATTTCTCATTTCAGGACAAATCCCCTTATCGCTCTAATTTTTCCACAGAAACACAGTTTGCAACCAGAATAGACTTAGTGCCTATTTAGAGCCTTGCGAGTCTTCCCGATTGTAAAAAAAAGTTTTCGCCGGAAAACTGCAGACATGAGGGGCTTTTTTCCGCAAAATGACATATTTCACGACTTTTTTGTTTTCGCGTTTCCATGCGAGATCAAAGCCTGCTAGAATAACGTATGGACTTTTGCTGTGTAAGTAAATTCTACGATTTTTTTCGGCTAGCTAGCGGCACTCTGCGATTTTCTGTCACCAAACTCAAAAACGCAAAATTTGAAGCCCCATATTCGAGAGCTTCGTTCTTGAGGTCCAGCTCAGGAATCTTAGGCTTAAACGTTCATCATGAAGCGTAAGGCTTCTAATAATTTTAGCATACAAGATTGTGAATTTAGGTTTAGTCTTTGAAAAGTTATTGAATTTTGTTTGAATTACGCAATAACTTTCGTGCCAACCTAATATGTTCCATATCTTATAATATCTTCTTCGCAATAAGGAACGAGTTAGAAATTTCAAAGGTATGAAAAATCGCTGGTATTTCTCATTCACACATCACACAACACCCACCAAAGAGGGTTAGTATTTCTTTTGAATTCGGCGGCATGGAAGACGAAGGAAAGAAACGTTGAAATTTCCTTTTCTTTATTGATATTTCAAGAATGAAATATAGCTGAGTGCGATTAGAAATCCCACGCGCTAATTTTTTTCCTTGATTATATAGACGAAGCCCGAAGGCCTAGATGTAAGTAAATTCATATTCTCCATGTAGCAATTAGCTCACAGGTAGCACGCACTTTATAAAGCTTGAGTACAATTTCCATGTTCTCAATGATAATTACATACTAAGGCTCTAGGTTAGTTTAATAATTATATGTGACACTAAATCAAACGGCATCGTTCCAGGGTAACATAATATGATTGACAACACTAACTTTGTACTTTATGAGATTCGAAAGTTCATAAAATACTGTAGTAATGGCAGTTTCTCGTATAAAAAGCCGCCTGAATACATATCACAAGCGAAAATGTATGCCTTCTACCTGCTTATCCTGACTGTAAGTTTTTTTAGCGTTATCTCCATAAACTTACACCATTATCATATCATTTCAGGTAACGCCTATCCTATCCTATCCTTGCACTGTAGGTTTGAACTAGTAGAACGTCTTCGTTGCGTTACTAACAAATTATTTGAGGACGCACCAGTTTCCGAAACACAAAAAGACCCTGAATATTGCGAAACATTAGACAAAGCAAGGAACGAGGATGTAGTAAATTGGGATGTGTTATCAGCGGTCAATAGTACATATGAATCTTACCTGGTTAGTGTTTCAAAATTTCGCCGCATTTTGTGGCATAATACTTAAGAGAGACTGCGCTTAGACAAGGTGCTATCTAACATAGAATCTTATCTATTCTTTCTTTTACAGAAATTCTGTTGTCCGCGCGTAAGAAATGCGAACATTGACGATGGCCAGTGGATTATGAGGTTGGATGCCATTCTTGACTGTTCTGTAAGCTAAAGACTCTATCTTTGCAGAAGATCGGAAATGACTTTTGCCAACGAAACAGCTGATATCGTCGATCAAATAGCAGAAGCACTAAATTCGGTAAGGAGCATGACGTTTTTTCTAGGTTAGATAAGCTTGCTAAAGTCATATGCATGGAAGTGCCGTGACTAGGGAAGCGCCTCTCCATTGTAAGAAATCGTACCGATGTTCCCCCCCCCCCCCGTCTTACAACAAGGAACGTTCCCTCGGGGCAGGGAAACTGTGCATACGGGCCTCGGTATGCTGAATTTATATCGGTCGCAAAGGAACTGCTTGATAAGTGCGCAGAAATGCAGCAGGCGAGGATTCTTGCGCAGTAGCATTAATACCGAGACCTTTGTGCTTGTGGATAAGGTAAGGAATAAAGAAACAGCGTTTCAGCATTTCAGGGAGGGTTGAGCACAATTCATCTCATAAACAGTTAGTAAATATGAATACACGCCAACCTTCAAACCATTCATGGGACAGCCGGTACCCATCAATGATGCTACAGCTCTCCGAAAAATTTCAAACAATCTACCGATCCGAAGGAAAGAGGGCATGTTTAGCTCAGGTCGTTAGTCAGAGTTGATCCCACTGATTCCGCGTAGGCTTAGTATACATTCATGCCTCTTATAAGTATGGCCTAGTATATCTTCCTAGGATGTATACGCTATTGGTCTTAAGTTTTGAGATTATATTATTTTTGTTTCATGTACATCTCTGAACATTAGAATGCAGCAAAGCTATGATTTCTTTAGAATCTTTGTCTTCCATTTCAGGTGTACGGGAAATCAGAGAAAGTGCTTTATGTGTGCTTTGTTCGGAGCTTTCCCATCACTGTCTGCACTGAGCAGCAAGGCTGTACTACACAAGAAATTGCGTGTAACTACAAAATAGTGGATGGAGATAAGGGCTGCGCACAATGGATATCTTGAGCCAGCTACAACAAGAGTCTCACATCAATCATTGAGTACCTAATTAATGCTAGTATTGTTCTAAATGTCATTAACAATATGTACGGCTTAGAGAAATAAAAGAAATCACATTCGTGGCTCAGCAGAGAATCTATCGAAGTGCTGATCCAGGGCCCGGCACGAGTCGGTTTCTAGGATTTCTGAAAACGAAGTCTCCCCTGACTTTCGGAAGTTTTACGAAGTCCCCTTTGACCTAACTGCTTAGGAGACGATGAAAACAAGAAAGATTTACTAGTCTGAAAGAAAAGACGTAAGATAAGAGTGAAAATCTAAATTGGAGCTGAATACTACGCATGCACAAGACTTTGGCATTAGAGGGCGATATTTAACAAAGCGTGAACAAATGATGGCAAAAAACAAAGGAAAGGTAATTATATGAAAATGTTTTCATGCTCAGGGATAGATTTTTGACCGGGGAATCCTCCATGCTAAAAAGATCCGAAACTTATGTGAAGTGACGAAAATATATGCTCCAGACGATCTCAGATCGTCTGGTTCTGGAGACGATCTAATTTTGGAAAAGGTATTACTTCACATAAGTTTTCAAATCTTTTTACATAATACTTTCGCAAATAATTTTTTATGCATACAGTTCAATTTCGGTGTCATATGCTTTTGTGTGCGCTGTAAACAAGCAATTTGTTTATTTTAGCCTGGCTTTCAAATCGCGCCAATTTTTGCCAACACGATAGAGCACGTCAGTCGTGTGATAACCTGTCCGAAAAGCTTGTGTTCGACTGAATGGCGCTTATTCTTGGTGCTCGGTTCCGACTCGTCAAAAACGATATCCCCTTTGCTGTTTGCTTCAAAAACGAAGTCCAGCCCGCTTCCAGACGATCTGTGCAGGGCCCTGTGCTGATCTGAGAAAAAGGATGTACTGGCACATTCTAGGTGCGGTATTCCTGCACATAGTATTGGACAGTGGTGTCCTCGCTTCCATTTTAAATACGCTTCGAGTCTTACCTTGCGACAAGCGGAACGGCTATGTACATATTTGTTACACATGAAATGATAAAAAGCAAAATGGTGGAGCAAGCGAGGTAAAAAGGGACTGAACTGATGTCAATTAGAAGTGGAAGCTCCATAAAGCACTTAACTCCTGCGCTAATTAAGGATGTTATTGACTTCATGATTGCAGATGACATCGAAATAATCAATCACTCAAGAAAAACAAAGTTTATTCTCTGATAAAGGAAGATTCAATTTATGATTTACAGGTCAAATTTCTACGAAGAGTAGTGAGTTACACGCGCTCATATGACACTGAAGAGAATGAGATTAATTATTTGTAGGGTGTTGCACCATTTTTCCGATTTTACAAAAACTGCAGTCTCTCTGTTTTACTCCTTTATTGAGCTTTGGGTTAGCATACGTTGGAGCAAAGCAAGATCTATAAAATGTTCACCAAGCATCCGCCCAAATAGTACTCCACGTAAAGTTTATAGCCAAACTCGGATAGTACTCAAAAACAATGTGACTTGAATCAACTCTCCGTTCCAAAACATCCTATAGATCCCCAATTTACTCGAACAAATAGCTGATACATCAGACATTTCATCCTACACTTCCCGTATTACCCTCTTAATTTAAGATGAAATTTCTTAAAATTCAATGGGGTAAATTGGCGAACTCCGCCTGCACTGCGCTTGGGTTTCTCCCACACACGTGATTGTATACTCTATGCATTGATAAGTACGACCTGTATTTGTACCGTTGTAGGTGCTCTCGCTGTCGAGTCGTATTTATTTTGATGTTGAGATCGGAAAAAAATTATGGGACAGCCTAATACATGCGCAAAGCAACATACGAAGTTTTTTGGAAAATGCACTGACATTCAAATAAGAACTGAGAATACACAACACAGTGCGAGATGTTATTATTTATTATGTAAGAAGCAATGTTGAGTTCTAGCTAACTGTCCGTGTTGTTTGTAAACATTTGTTAATTTGGAAAGTACGAAAATTGAGGGGTCTTTACCTGGTTGCTTTCTCCAAAAGATGCAGTAGGGAAACTGATTCTATTATTTTAGATAAACACATTCAGAGCTGCTCTTTTATTTGCCACTAAACTAGTAATAAAATTGAAATGATAACAATTTTAAAGTGTAACCATAGCCAAAATTGAAGATGTTTAGAATATTTTGCGAGAACACTAAACAACCTGACTCCGTTTCTTTCCTTCCCTTAGGCGGAGTTTAAAATGAGTTCTAGGTGGCTAAATAGCTGACACGGCAAGTCCATATTTTGCCTGTCAGCCATTTAGGCTCAAAGGCCGAATTTCTGCTTACGAGGCACTTAGTGCTTCGTATTCTCAACAGAATGGACACTACCCGATTTCTGTACATTGCATTGTAAGCGGCAAGCAATAGTCTAACAAATGGTGGCTGTTGTGACCGTCCAAGACTAGAATTCAGTAGGAGTCATTCATAATTTTCTTCAAAAAATATTTTTGCATGCTAACAACGTACTTGGAAAAAGCTAAACGAATTGATGGTCGTGGATTATGTGATGGCTATAGTAGCTAGGTCCATGTTTTCCGAGGCCTATCTCGCCCTATATTGACAACATACCAGCCTACTGTGGACCTAGCGCGAGAAGCAAAATTGAATGAAGAAGTTAATATACTATTGTAAATTTAGACTTATTATTATCTAAATAAGAAACTAAAAAAACACGAGACGAAGTTCCGTTCCGTACTGCCGATGCGCGACTGTATCTTAACCTCAGGACTTAAAAGCATAATCGCGGCTGAGATCATTTCTACTACAAAGTAGTAAGTAATCAGAGCGAGAGACAGACAAAGCATCAAAATGTGTTGCCGCTCTTCACGTCCGCAGCAGAGTCCGAAGGCAATTGCGGCAACACGCGCATCGACTACCGTAATCACCGCCGCGACGGGTTGAGAACTATATGTCGCCGAATGTGCGAGGGTCCCGCGCGGACTTCCTGCGAAAACGCACTTCCGGCTTGTGCAAGCGTGCGTATTTGTAGTAAATGACCACGGGAGCCGCTCCCTTTCGGCGACATATACAATACGCTCACATTTTTTGAAAAGTAGACGCGAATGTATGGACATGTATGGACATGTCCATACATCAGCGTCGCGTGGCCATATCTCGCTTCAGAGTGGACGGATTCTGAATCCAAAGCCACCATTCGATTCAGCTCGGCGCGGAGAATCTTCTGATATATTGGAAGTGGGGGTACGATGTCTTCGATATTCCGTTTCCAGTTTTTTCAATTTGTTCTGCGGAGGTCCTTTCGCGAATATGTGAAGCAAAGCCTACTCAACATAGAAGACTTTACAGAGTACTATTCGATTATACTGTTCTTGTAGAATATTGTGCGCTAGAAAATAGGCTCAGACTTCTTTCCAAAGGAGATAGAAGCGTTGGTGAATTTTAGAAAAATCACGCGTTTTTGAATTCTACTCGCCATAACTTCTTTCGAAATGAGTATATTTTGAATCCGAGAGCAGAGCCTTGCTCAGCTCATCAAGGCGAATCTTTTTGTATACAGCATGTTCTTGATATATCAATTTCTTGAATCTTTCTGAGGACGTCTTTTCGCGAAGGTGTAAAGCAGCGAGCATTGTCCCGAGTAAATTCCAGCAAGGATCTTTCGATAGCACTTTTTCTGTAGATTATGATGTGCTAAATAGTAGCCGCAGGTTTCTTTTCAAAGAAAACAGAACGGCTGGTGAATTGTGGAAAAATCTTGTCGTCCCAAATTCTACTCGCCATAGCCGCAGGATACGAAGCTATCTTGCTAAGCAGATGTGAGTTTCGAAATCAGCAGGTCGGATAACCTCTGTGGGCAAGTTTTCCGATATGTTCGGGTTATTCCATTTTTTCTCGTTTTACGCTCCAGAAGCTCGCCGATGGATTTTGGTCAAAATGTTGATGCTCCTGAATTGTAAGGAAACTTCGCTCATAGAGGTTTTCAAACACGCTCTTTACGAAAATCGTGGTCTTCGAGGATTACAGGGTCTTTTTGGAGAGATACGATGAGGTGACTGTAACTTCATCACGAAAGTACGTAACTTTGGCTGCACTTCTCGTCTGTCAGAAACCTTGCCTGCGTGCTTTTCTCAGTCAAAGTTACTAGGAACTGTGCTATCGAATGGTGCATTACTCAGGCTCCAGTCTGTGAAATTCGCCGAGTTACGAGCCTACGAAAGCACGTCCTCATGAATTTTGCCCAAAATGTAAAGAACGCATATCTCGTCGAAATTCCTCCGTGCTTGTATTAGGTCATTCGGAAAGTCTTTTCGTTTTTGCACCTCCAAATTCAAACGAGAACAATTTTTTCTGATTCAACCTTTTTCCATTAAATACAGCCTGTCCCAATCGGGATCAGGCCGAACCGTCGGCTGAATTTGTGCGCTCGCAGCGCTAGGGGCTTGCGCTGCATACGCGCGCTGTCGCGGAGAGCGAAGAGATTGAGGAGAGAGCAGACTAGCTAGACGCAGAAGTGGCGCGAAACCCTCGCGACGCGCACTCCCGCCAAGCCAATTTTGGCCTGGTTAGGATTGGGGCAGACTGTAAACTGCATTGTGTTCAGCAAATTTCTGGTTACACTCTTATAGTGCTCTTGTGCTTTTCTCTTGCGAAATGATCTCAGAGGAATCACTAAAGCCTGAAAAGGCGTTTTTGCTTAGTCAATCTCTATTAGGTCCTAATATTTTTTAATAGGCACCGAGGAATTGGAAAAACTGGTAACTGGTAAAGGAAGGTCTATAGAGTTTGAAAAATAAACAGGAACCTCGGTGCGCAGTCAACCCCTTTTGTGAGAGCCACTTTTCTTACATGTGGTTTGGCGGAGTCATGGGCGTGGATGGCATCTCTCATAGCTTATACGTGCAAGTGCTCAGTTTTTGAAATTTTGACAAACAGTCTTCAGAGCGACATCACACTACTCTGCTCTTACAGTACAATCGCATTTTAGCAAGTTTGTAGCGTACAAGACCAGCAGGATTACATTAATTTTGAGTGCATCAACCTTTTGGAATGACAGATTGTTCTGATCATGTTTTCAATGCTTATTCCAAATGATTTACCACATTGTCGCTTCTTATAGCCGCACTTGGCCAATTTTTTGTTGTAATTAATAACCCAGGCCGGCAAAGGATGGCTACATAAAATTATGAGCGACGAAAGCAGAGTCAACGCGCCCTCAATCTGAAAGTGCGACAGTTTGTAGGGTACATGTCGGTGAAATTTTTCGGTATTGCAGCTTTAGCGAAGATGGCTCCTAATAGGGTTATATGACACTTCAGGGCCTGCTGATAATTCTACGCAGCTACAATTGCGATTTGTTCCAAAGGACCCTCTGAGATGCTCGTTTATGTGGCAGAAACACCTTCCAGAACACTGCAAAATATTAGCTTTCACTTCTCTAGATCTGAACTTTCTGAAGTAAACTTGAACCTACCTCAAGAAAGCGTGGTCTTGGCAAATGCATTACGCACAATGATGGTTTCCTCAACGGTCTTACGCTCGAATTCAAGCTTAGAGAATACAATTATTCGAAAATCGTGTTTTCGTATGTCGGATTTAGAGCCTCGTAAACTTCCCCACAAAACGTCTTCTGCAATTTTGGTGGGATCCCAGAAACTAGAAGACTTCCTCTACAGATCCATATATGGCAACCCTTAGGGTTGTTTCAGACTGCCGCACTGACTGCAGCAGACTGCAGCAGACTGCAGCAGACCGCAGCTGACTGCAACTGACCGCACTGACCGCAGCTGACTGCAGCTGACTGCAGCAGACTGCAGCAGACTGCATGACCGCACTGACCCCAAGGGCCACACAGATCGCTGTATTCTTCCGTAAAGGTAGAGAGGATAAATAGTTGTAGCCCAAACGATCAACAACAATATATGCCTAGATCCAAAAGACAATATGAACGAAAGTAAAACAGGTATATGCAATAAAGGGAAATCGGAACAAATATAGGCATACCAATGAAAAACAATCGCCAAAATTTGATTCAAAAGAGTAAGTTAGAACCTAGGAACTTTCTAGGCGTAAATCACGGTGTTTTGACATAATCGCAAATGTTTTCTCTTTTACGAAAGCATGCAGCGTCTGTGCGGTCGTTGCGGTCAGTGCAGTCAGCTGCAGTCTGCTGCAGTCTGCTGCAGTCTACAGCAGTCTGCAGCGGTCAGTGCAGTCAGCTGCAGACTGCTGCAGTCAGTGCGGCAGTATGAAACAACCCTTATCAGCCCCCTGGCACCCTCTTAAAATACGGTATCAACATCAAAGGCGCAAAAGGGAAAAAACTTTCCGAATGACCTAATACAACGCGCTTATCAAATCCTTTCACATTTTTAATGGATCTTATTGTGTTAGATTTGGTGCTTTGGGCTCCAACCACGAAATAGCTTTGATATTCAATTGAGCAGCTGAAGCAGACGCAAGCACCATATTCAGTGCAGTGGGAGTCGTTCGACGAAGCGAACATAATATCTGCAACGAGCGTCATACAAGCGCTCACGGAGGAATTTCGACGAGATATGCGATCTTTACATTTTGGGCAAAATTCATGAGGACGTGTTTTCGTAGGCTCGTAACTCGGCGAATTTCACAGACTGGAGCCTGAGTAATGCACCATTCGATAGCACAGTTCCTAGTAACTTTGACTGAGAAAAGCACGCAGGCAAGGTTTCTGACAGACGAGAAGTGCAGCCAAAGTTACGTACTTTCGTGATGAAGTTACAGTCACCTCATCCTATCTCTCCAAAAAGACCCTGTAATCCTCGAAGACCACGATTTTCGTAAAGAGCGTGTTTGAAAACCTCTATGAGCGAAGTTTCCTTACAATTCAGGAGCATCAACATTTTGACCAAAATCCATCGGCGAGCTTCTGGAGCGTAAAACGAGAAAAAATGGAATAACCCGAACATATCGGAAAACTTGCTCACAGAGGTTATCCGACCTGCTGATTTCGAAACTCACATCTGCTTAGCAAGATAGCTTCGTATCCTGCGGCTATGGCGAGTAGAATTTGGGACGACAAGATTTTTCCACAATTCACCAGCCGTTCTGTTTTCTTTGAAAAGAAACCTGCGGCTACTATTTAGCACATCATAATCTACAGAAAAAGTGCTATCGAAAGATCCTTGCTGGAATTTACTCGGGACAATGCTCGCTGCTTTACACCTTCGCGAAAAGACGTCCTCAGAAAGATTCAAGAAATTGATATATCAAGAACATGCTGTATACAAAAAGATTCGCCTTGATGAGCTGAGCAAGGCTCTGCTCTCGGATTCAAAATATACTCATTTCGAAAGAAGTTATGGCGAGTAGAATTCAAAAACGCGTGATTTTTCTAAAATTCACCAACGCTTCTATCTCCTTTGGAAAGAAGTCTGAGCCTATTTTCTAGCGCACAATATTCTACAAGAACAGTATAATCGAATAGTACTCTGTAAAGTCTTCTATGTTGGGTAGGCTTTGCTTCACATATTCGCGAAAGGACCTCCGCAGAACAAATTGAAAAAACTGGAAACGGAATATCGAAGACATCGTACCCCCACTTCCAATATATCAGAAGATTCTCCGCGCTGAGCTGAATCGAATGGTGGCTTTGAATTCAGAATCCGTCCACTCTGAAGCGAGATATGGCCACGCGACGCTGATGTATGGACATGTCCATACATGTATGGACATGTCCGTACATGTATGGACATGTCCGTACATGTCCATACATGTCCATACATTCGCGTATATTTTTCAAAAAATGTGAGCGGTATTGTAGTCCTCTACCCCGCGGCGATCTACTATGTTTCCGGGCAGCGTTCAGGCAATTGGACATACAGTCGTTTTCAATACGTATTGGTTTTTTCTACCGTATGCCTTTCAGCCTCAACATGACGTGGATTGGTGTGGATTGGTGTGGATTGGTGCGGCGCCGCCGAGAGAAGCAACGCGGCGCAAGCCCGAAGCGATGCGGCGCCTCACCAATCCATACCAATCCACACCAATCCACACCAATCCACGTCATGTTGAGGCTGAAAGGCATACGGTAGAAAAAACCAATACGTATTGAAAACAACTGTATCTGTGAGTTTGGTTAGGAAGCTATTTAGCTACGGCCCGCCATCAGCATAAACTCAGGTGTAGCTGTGAATTTTGCCTTCAAAATTTCGGTCGTTTTTTTCTTCATCCTTTCCACGTTAGTGATTTTGTTATTCTTATATTCTCCCTTACTTAAACACAACAGCTGAAGGTTTTGAAGGTAGCAGAAGTCATGCGATGATGCTCAGCAATTTTCATAATTTCATAATTTGATGAACCTGATGAACCCCACTGCATAATGATTTTCGCGAATTTTTCCAAAACCTGCAGGTTTTTATGCATTCTCAGGAGTCAGTGTTGAGAAAACAAGACACCAAAGCATTTACAATGAGGCCTAGAAATTTATACTTTTCTTCCACAAAATAATGTGCAAATTTATGAGACCCAATCGACATACGCTTTACAATTAGTAAGAAAATTTTTACACCGCAAGAAGTTGAATGTGTCGTGTGATTTCGGGAAGGGATTGCAAACTTTGCGAGCCTCCGGCAAAACTTCTGCACATTTTCGGACTGTTGGCCGAGGTGTTGTAGTCTAAAACAGGTGACTCAGGAACAGCAAAAAGATGTAAGGCTCAAAATGGTTGAGCTTGTGAATTTTGAAGAAAACTGATTACAGAGAATAGAGGGGCTGAATTACGGGATGTATTTCAATGAACAAAAATAAAATACCGGTTCCTCGATCGCAGGTGTGAGTTCAGGTAAGCAAAACTGCTCAAATGCAAAGCAAAATTGCAGTACATCATTCTCAATCTTCGAACCACTACAGAACTTCGGATAATGCCTGTAGTAACTGAAAAAAGAAAGGTAACTGAAACAGTAACTGAAATAGAAAGGTTGTCATTCGTTGCTTAGACAGTCAGTTGGCTCTGAAACAAGTATGGAAATCAAAACGAAAAAACATTGTATGTAACAAATTCAAGCAACGTACAGGTGAAACTACCCTTTAGTTAGCGCTTTTGAGAATCCGTTACTTTGAGTTATATCGACTCAATTTTTTATTGAGATATTACTCTTAAAAATTTATGCTTTCATATAAACAAAATTGGTTCAAGAAAAGTTTTCGAAAAATTAACACTCATTATCAAAAGAAACTTTACCTCTGACAGTATGTGAGTACTGGAATGACGTCCGACGTAGAGGTACATGCTGGTGGATAAGACTTACAGAATGCTATCTAAATAGACAACAGTAATCTGTAATAAATTGTTGAGCTCTTCTTTTATCTCACCTGGTCTTCCTTAACGTTTCCGTGACAGATTCTTACAAAACGTTCTCGTTCCACTACACAGTATTCACTCACAAAAACTAGCACCGATTTCTAGAACTACCAAATAAAAAATCAACATCTCTTTTTATTTGTAATCTGACTTCATCTTCTTTATTGCTTCCGATCGTGGCATTGACTCCCTGAGTTTGATGTGTGATTGAGGGTTCTGTCTTAGCTTTTGACATGACAGTAACAGGCTGAATGAGGACATGCCTAATATTTAGCAGCTTACTAGCAATGGCGGACTCTAAGATTTTTATTCTTTTTTTTTTTTTGGGGGGGGGGGGGGGGGGAGAGATAGGCAAAAGGCAAAGCGGCAGAAAATCTACGCAATATTTCACAAAAATAGTTCTGATTGGACATTAGAAACAAATTGCTTGCAAATCTGTATGGACAGTTTCCACAAAGTTTGCGAGTCATTTTCGAGGTTGGGCGGTAGGAGGAGGGCAGGGAAATCATCAACCTATGCACGACCTGTTTTTCTTAAATTAAATTTTTCAGAATTTTAAAAATTTCCACTTCCCTCCCAAAAGACTTTCGTAGGGCATCGAACGTGCCATTTCACTTGAGAAAACTCCTCGCGAATTTCCCTCCCTCCCCCCTTCCCCCCCCCCCCCCCACTCCGAAAAAAACCATGAACAGCCAATGCTATAATTGAAATACCTCCTCTTGTGTTCGTACGGGTTTTGGAAGTCGCAAGAGACTGCCTTCATGTTCATCAACGCGGGTAGAATTTCCGAAGTCTTGCAGTGACATCTTAGGACGAGCAATGTTGTCTTCCAACAATGTTTCTGCAGCTAAATTGATAACGGGATAAACCCCACTTGAGAAGTGCTCGTAAGTGTGAGGAAGAGAAGGAAACAGCGGGAGGAAGAAAGGAAAGAAATTTGTAAAATGAAACCTCAGGAAGTATAGGTCGCTATAAAGATTCTTCAAAGCTCTCTGGAACCCCATTCGCGGTATTAAAACAGCTTCTTTTTCTCTCTCCAGCAATTATGTTTCTCGTGCAAAAGTTTGGAAGCGCACAAGCGCCGAAGCATGAACCCTCCATTTTTACCACGTCTTATTTGGAAAATAATAAAATTTGAGGGAGATTTTGAGATTGGGAGCTTCGATAACCAGCAGATTAGGGCAAATCTTTCAGTAATTCATGTTCTGGCAAGTTTTTTTAACAAAATATTCTTTTCAAACCATGATTTATTCGGTCCATTCTGACCTCGTAAAACACAAAATGATAAACAAGTACATATAAAGGATATTCGTTGACGACTGCCCCGTTGTGCATTTACACCACCGCGGGTGTGCCTTTTTGAACCCTTTCCGGCGCCATCTAAATCTACTTGACCGGCTGCGCGGGCGGTCGCGTGCGCGCCATCAGGTGCGTGCCGGGACCTAGGGCTTGCATAAAGCTTTGCAATTGCGCGTATGGCGCAGTTTCTTCCAATGATGTGTTACTAGATTCCTTTCCAGTGGAGTTTACGTATCCCCTTACATTTTCCTTATCTTTGAACGAACTTATGAGCCTTGATATCAGATGCATAACCTGATGCTCATAGATTTGCTAGAGACAGGCCAACATAGACAAAAGTCTCACATAATTTGGATAGATGTGCCATACAGCTGTTTCTGCTTGATACCACATAATAGATGTTCTTGAAAGAAATGATAGATGGTAATGTAATTTGTAGAGAAGCTTAATTCACTCTCTTCTTTGCGCAGCTATGTTTGGAAGTTATCCTCAATTGTTAAGATTGATACTTTTCCATATCAAAGACGGTCATCTTGTTGTCACAAGTTACGACTCTGTCCAAAAAAGAACTGTTTTCTGAAGTAAAGAAGGCAAGCAGACCCCGCTGGAGCGCTTTCCTTTATGACTCCGATAGCTTATAGGAATCCGTTCTCGAGTTTCTAACCTTGCGATTCAAGGAGGTGGCTCCAAACTGTGCCAGTAGATATTCCTAGACCTGGCAAGATTTAGCACAGCTAGACGTAAGATCTTCATCCACAGCTTCCAGTTGCTGTCCTTCTAAATCACGGGAATGACGTCCGCACCGCGGCATCCACCAATGGTCACTTCTCCACATTTGAATTGGCTCAACCAATGCACTGTCCCTCGATTGAGTGCGGTTTCGGCAAATGCCATGCACATATTGGCGCCATGTGGCTGCCTTGTGCCCAAGTTTGAACTCGTAAAGTGCGATGAGTCAAGAATCTTGCCTCCACAAGTCTTCTTTGAATTGATAGAGACTTTGGTAGAGGCGCTTGATAAAAAATATAAGATATCGATAGAAACTAAGGGTTGCACCTACTTGATTTTATATGCCTGTCCCAGTGGCGTACCGAGGGGGGGGGGCGCCCCCCCCCCCCCGAGAATGGATCGCCAAATTTTTGAAAGTTACTTATATGGGTTATAAAAATGTGCAAGTGACTTGTTTATACTTGTAAATAAATAAAATAATTTTTAAAATTTTTAAAAATTCAAATTAGCTTTGTAAAAAAATTTTTTTCGGGGGCGTGGCTGACGCCACGCCCCCTTTTTCCAGACTTTAGGGGTTGGGGATCCGCAAAAATTTTGAAAAACACCCCTAATATTTTTTTGGAGTGCGTGGCTAACGCCACGCACGGTCATTTGAAAAAAATTTGTCGCGCCCCCCCCCCCCGAGCGGAAATCCTGGGTACGCCACTGGCCTGTCCTGATACGTTTTACCAAGCTAATAGCAGAAACTTTGAGTAACAAAAAACGAAGAAACTTTCCGAATGATCTAATAGTAAAAAATCAAATTATGGAACCTTAGTGCTCCGAAGTTGTGTTTTGCAATTGTTTCATTTCTCAAGACTTTCATCATCATTTGGAAAATTCTGAAAAAAATTAGATTTAGAAGAAATTCTGAAGGATCCAAATAAAAAACTGCTTTGATATGCAGAAGGTGTGCTCTTTCTGCCTCCTAACAAAGTTCCCTCAAAACTCTATCAAAACTTAACGGCGCTTATCGCAGCACACGAAGAACCGCATCCACAATACAACGCTGGAAAGAGGAAGATGCATCGAATATCAGTGAAGTACTGCTCTTCTTGTACTTTACGGGATCTTCTAGCGGGCAGACATCAGATAAACACAATTTTTGCTACCACAGATAAGTCCTCCCATCAGATAAGTCCGTCTACAGATAAGTCCGCTTTCTTTCCATTATAACTGCCCTGAAATCTTGTCAGATAAGTCCGAAGACTGTCAGATAAGTCCGAACTTATCTGTAAGCGGACTTATTTAAGGGAGGACTTATCTGCAAGATTCTTGGTGGTGCGAGGGTGCATTTTCATTGATTTTTCGTGTCAAAAAAGCGGACTAATCTGCAAGATTTTAGGGTAATAAATGGTTTGTTGCGTCAAAGGCATGAGGTAACGAGTCCATTAAACATTTTTAGCATAACCGTCTATACTTGTTCTCGCCACGCTAGCTCACTCTCCGCAGTACAAGAACAAAATAAAAATGCTTGTGCAGTCGTGTTAAAAAAAACTGAGAAAGGCAGTTACTTCAAAATCATGCTCTAAAAACTAGACCGAATATGCGACCGACTCAATGTTGTGAAACCCATCGTTGAAAATTCAAAGAGATTGCCTATGTATGCTTGCACATGATATCGTAGCGTGATGTTCAGCATGGCCACAGTGTTACTGTGTTACTTAGACTTGATAAACTGCTTACAATTAGCATTTAGACCTGATAAAGTTGAGGTTTCACTTATCGAGTCTACAGGTATTGTCGTTGCTTCCAGCAAGGGTGCGAAATCTCGGCAAAACCTGAGAGTTGGTCGTCGCCGGCATGCTCTCTGCAAATAATGATTTATTAGGTAGCCAAGTACTGGAACTGACAATGCGCATGCAGCCTGTAAATATATGCGATTTTCTACTTTTCCCATCAACATATCGAGCTCTTCTAACTAGGGAGGGTGACGATGTCGAAGTGGCCAATCACCGCAAACTGTATATCATTGGTGAGAGCTTGAAACACTGGTTTCAATTTTGCTTCCCTACTATTAGCAGAGCATTTCTGAGAAAGAAGTTATGAACATTTTTTCGATAAGACGGACGCATTGCTGGCCGCTCCCTTGAGCTAATGTATTGCTGGCCGTTTGCACGATAACATTGTCTGCCGCTAGAACGGCGCTCCAGCTGTTTGGCGCACGCAAGGAAGCTTTAGAATTATGTCGACCGCTTGTACGCTAGCCCTTAAAGAGGACCGCTCGCACGGCGCGAATGCCTGAGCAAAGCGCCGTGGCCTTATTGCCTCGCTTTCGCTTCCCGCTGAGAACCATGTCAGAACTGGCAGCGAGCGGGCTGCTATAAAGTCTTCAGCGCGAAGCGAAAGCGATGGTTATAGCAGCCCGTTCGCTGCCAGTTCTGACATGGTTCTCAGAAGGAAGAGAAAGCGAGGCGACACGGCCACGGCGCTATTGGTGGGTTTTGGCGGTGGCTTTGTGGCTGCTGATAGCCTTTGATTGTCTGAGATACTGCACAAACCCCTTACAATTACTCGCATTGTGTAACTTCGTGTTTCAGCAGTTATAACAATTAGTATACATCGGATGGCCTTAGACAGACTCTCTTGAACAAGAATGATACGTTATAAGCTGGGCGTTTTGTGATTTCTCTTTCTCGAGCTGCAAATATTCTCGATGTCTCATTGCTTTCCGACTACCCTAATACGTTAGGATGATTGCGCCGTTGGACCATCAAATTCATATTTATTAGATCAAACCAAGAAAGTCCGCTACGTATACCCCCGATATATTAGACTGGTTCATGATTGATGCCGTTTTCGCAAAATTCAATTCTAAAAAAGATAATCTCTCCCACAACCATTATTTGAAAGCAATAAAAACTACTGCAAACAACAAATTTTCCGCAATATAATACATACCTGTATAATCATCTTATATATAAAGCTGAATGTCTGTTTGTCTGTTTGTATGTATGTTTGTATGCCTGTACATATATTCCGAATAGAAATTTTTATTTTTGAACCGATCCGGACCAAACTTGGCACACATACACTTCGGGGCCGAGCGGGTGTCAAAGGCTACTTTTCGTCATCGATCGATATCGAATTCATCAATTTTTATCGATTTTTTGTAAAGTTTGATCTATAGGGCTGGGAGTTGCACAGGGGGTAATCGAGTATGCTGATTACGAAATACAATATCAGTTTTCAAAATTATACACTACTTATAGCGATTTTATCGATTTTCTCGCAAAGTTTGAGCTACGGGGCTGGGAATTGGCAGAAGGGGGTAAGTGAGCATGCTGATTACTAACACAAGGGGAATAGGGAATTGCATGTAGAAGTGGGCACAAGGAAATTTTGCACAGGAACGGGAATGGAACTTCATCAAAGTGTATTGACAGAGCCGGGCGGAGCCCGGTAAGCCAGCTAGTAGTCAATATGAGAAAGATTTTTTTCCGAAATTTCTAGTGTGAGAAGGGATTGATTGGCCTAACGTGAAACAGGATGTGGTGAACAGCTCATCTTATTGCTCATTATTGGTCGGTTGGGCAGCGCAATAAAGCCTGGATTCTTCAAAAAATTTTGCGAGAAAATTGAGAATTTTGCGACCAGAACTCTAGAAAGCGGCTTTTTCGGCTTTCAGAAAAAGCAAAAGCTGATTTTTGAATTTTCAATTTTTCTCCTCCAAAAGATAAAAAAAACCTTGACGTTTTTCCATTGTGATAGTAGTAAGTTCATTGTACCTGAACAAAAACCGCAATCGCTTGCCGCCTAATTTTTCTAAACAGTATAGAATGGTCAACTTCGAATTTTTAGGACAATAAAATAGGACGGTAATGATCAGCTAGTGCCGAAACCCAGCTGCTTCGTGTAGTTCAAATTGTAGGATTCGTTTTTTGTCAACATTGGTTGGAAAACTATTTGGTTGTTACATAAGTCTTGTTCCACTTCAACTTCTTACGACGATAAGTCGTACACTTTATGAATTCAATAGGGCTCCAGGGTACCGTTGGATAGAGCAAAGCAAGCTCTACGTGATCGTATGTAAAAGTTCACACCAGATTCGACCCGCAGTTAGTTTGCATCCAAAAGAGTCGTACTGAAGGCTCAAAAAATTGGGGAAAATTCATGTCTTTGTTGAAAAAATCCTAGGGATTTCCAACTTGCTCACACTGATTGCACACCACATCAGACACTCATATGCCGTTGCCGTATTTTTGCCTCATCTAAAAATCAAGAAAACGAAAATTTTCTTATTTTACAAAAACGAAGCTATGCTGTGTCTATTCATGTAGTTGTATGGTACAAGCCCTTAGAAGTGTAGCCGTAAATTTCTAGCTTTCCACAAACCTTAGTTTTCGAAAAACTACCGAATAAAAAATACTAAACTAAGCTTTTCTCACTCTGGTGTTCAGTGCCTAAATTAGGCACTTTTTGAAAACTAAAGCTTGTGAAGCTGAAAATTCATTTTTATATTAGGTCATTCCGAAAGTAATTTCGCTTTTTTCAAACGGACGCCATATGTGATGGAACAAGGGTTCCTAAAAGATCTTGGAGGCATTCGATGCAGAATTTCGTCCTCTTTTTAAGGGTTATAAAATTATTGCAGCATATTCAATGACCTTTCAGAAAATAACCAAAATCTGCGACCTATGCTTTTTGAGATAGTCAAGTTTCATAATTTTTTAAAACTTTCATATCAATCCTCGGAAGGAGATCAAGCAAGGATTCGATAGAGCAAAGCTCATAGAAAAAGTGCTACTTTTTCGTCTTCCTTGCAGCACGCCGTAATATTTTTTTAGATTTTCTAACAGAACTATTGGATTTTGGCAGGCCCACCTCAGCCACAATCGCATCAAACATCTTAAGTTTTCGGAACTTAAGACTACCAAGATGGTACTGTGAGTTAGCATTAATTTTATAAAGCAAGTGAGGGTTTACGGGTATGAAATATCAAATTTCGAGTTTTTCGGGTACAGCCTGGGGCTCGCTAAAAAATGAGTTATGATGATTTCTCCCCGGAAACTAAATGAATTGGAAACAAAAAACACCTATTAGAAAGAGGAGAAAGTGCTGCATCGAATAGTGCGCGAGCTGCTCTTCTTTTGATGGACTACGAGGATTTAGCTGCTCAAGTATGGACATCAGTAGCATCAGTTAAAATTCTGTTAAAAATGTATGACAAGCCATGGAAAGGAGAAAAAAGTAGTACTATATCCTATAAGGTTTACTCTATTGAATTGTTACTTGAACTCCTTCTGAGGATTGATATGAAAGTTTTAAAAAATCGTGAAACTTGACCATCTCAAAAAGCATGGGTCGCAGATTTTGGTTATTTTCTGAAAGCTCGTTGATTGTTTTGCAACGGTTTCATAACCTTTAGAGAGAATGAAATGCTGCATCGAATGCATCCAAGATTTCCTAGAGATTTTTGTTCCATCAAATGTGGCGCCCATTTAAAAAAGCGAAATTACTTTCGGAATGACCTAATATTTTGAAGGTTTGTGGTAAACAATTACATGAGTGGAAACAGCACAGCTTCGTTTCTGTGAAAACAAGAAAATTTTAGTTTTCTCGATTTCTAGATGAGGAACAAATACAGCAACGGTACATATGAGTGTCTGGTGTGGTGTGCAATCTTGAACAATTTGGAAATGCGTAGTAATTTTTTCAACGGAGATAAAAAATTTCCTAATTTTTAAGATTTCAGTGCGATCACATTCCGGATGCAAACTTAGGTGGGTCAAAGTTGGTGCTATTTTTTGCACACCACCTTATAAATCTTGCTTTGCCCTATCGAATAATACCCTGGAGTCACATTAAAATCATGGAGTTTACGACTTATCGTCGTAAAAAATTAAAACAAGACTTATGTAACAACTTAATAGAAAGTAAAAAACGACTTACTTCTAATAAAATGCTCCGAAACCGTTCCTGAGTGCTGATGATCATCACGGGAATTAGTAGTAAGAAAAACATGCGCTTTGACACCATATCGATAGTGATAAGATTCTAGGAAAATCCATAGTGCTATGAAACAGGAATAGCACGGATCGAAGATCAGCGTGGGCGGACAAATTGGGTCGGATAGCGCAACTGATCTGTCGTTATTACCGATCCTTTATCAAACGATTACTGTAACTTTGAATAGCCCCCTGCTTTTCTCAGATATTAGCAGAGTCAATTGCAGAAATCACATATCATAACGCTTTCTATAACGAATTTTTCAAAAAATGCGATGTTTCAAAGAAAATAAGTTTCATCAGAAAGCGACCGCCTTGTATATCAGTTATTCACTTTATCGTCGGGGAAAAGCACACGGTACAATGATGAAATATGTACAAGTTAAATGAATTCAAACGTTCCATAAAATTCACTGCAAGAGAGAAGGACCAAGAATACAGACAACTACTCAAGTTCAAGCAAATAAAACTTGCAAGCAGTGGGACATAGTAAAAACCATGACAATTGTGAACCTAAGCATGGAGAAGAAAAGAGCTAATACTTCGGTAAAACTACTATGGGACTGCCAGCCTGCCTAAATACTTCGTAGATCAGAGACAGGCAGAAGGAAAACGACGCTCCTAAGAGCTGATAAAAAATTAAACGTAATTCACCCACCTATCTAGAAAAGCCAGATTCTGATATTACAACATGTTTAGCAAGACTCTACAGAAGCCATTCAGCTATGTACAAAATCAAAAAAAATCGTAGCAGGTGACTACACTCTAAGCTTCGATGATGAGCTCTGATGAAAAACGGTTGCGAAGTAGCCTTTCAGTCTGTATGAGTCTAAGACTATCATTGCCTAAGGGAAGTAATCTTCAAAAGCAAAGGACTGGCTTCGTTCCTTGAGGGCAAGCCGAGAATGACGATGGAGCAAAAAGAGAACTCTTGAAAAATGCGCCATATCATTTCAACTTTTGCGCATCAGCTGTCAATTGTTTGGCACGTGGGAGTTCATTGATAATGGTAGAGCGATCAGTCATCGCGAGAATGGAATTTTTATCTCAAAATCAACTTCTGTAAGTCATTGTATGAGATATTAGAGCATACAAACTCAAAAAAGGCACTGTGGTGATCTGGACGTCAGAAAACACAAAGCCTGTTCCTCTCTCAGCAGACCTAACCATTGTTCAAAAATCGCCTTTTTTACCTACACTCAAAGACTACCTCTCAATCACGGTATCGTTTTCAAAAGTTACAAAAGCTAATCTTTCATGCATGGAAGTATTTCATCCTAGTCAACCGCCAAAGCTCCAGGTGCACGTTACATATGTTGGAAAAATAGTATTGCTAACAAAAAGCATCGGACGCTGTGGTAAAGAAGGCACACCAAAAGTGCAATATTAATCCAAAAGGAGGCGAAAAAGTATTTAGCCTAGTAGTGGGAACCAGCCGACATTACAAAAGAAGTACAAAAGCCAAACAAAACTATCAAAATGATCAAAACTGTTCACGGGAATGTATGTAAAAAAGATCACTTAGCCGGTTGTATGACAAATGGGAGGGAACTCTTCTGGATCGTTAGCATCTGGCACTCGGGAACTAGACTCGGCTGGTTTTTGCCGACCTGAAAGATAACTGAATTATGTTGCGTAAAAAACATTTTATAGCCAAAAAATTGAAATCTTAACTTTATAAAGACCTATAGACTAAACACACAGTACGGGTCCTTGGGATATGCTTAGAAACAGGCAGAAACAGATAATAATCTCATGCAATTTACTGAGAGCAGTTAGTGTGGACCAGTACAACAGAAAGAATGCAGTACCCTACACTGTCAAGGGCGAGATTCAAATCAAAGCCTTGCGTTCGTATAACATCGAAAAACATTCTTTGCACTATTATTTCAAAACATTGAGATAGTGAGGCCTGAATTTCAGATAAATGAAGATTGTGGGGTCTGAATCTTGAATACATGAAGATATGGAATAAATCAACCCCACAGTACTCGAGCGCGGCGTAAGAAGCGAAAATGATCTGAGCTCTACCTGTGCAACAGCTGTTTGCAAAAATTTTGGAACCAGTCACAGCTCTTAAATCTGTATAAAAATATACAAACTAAGAAAAAACATGGGTAGAGCACTAGAAATGAAAACCCCGGCGCGTCCACCGAATGCTATAGATATAAACTTTACTAGAATCTCCTCTGTTGGCATCTGTAGCATTCGCACCTATACGATGCATTTTGACTAGATCACATTCGCCACCGGAACTCAGCACACGATAACAATACAGAAATCCATCTGTTGTTGCAACAAGAAGGTGGGGTTGACCACTGATCCTAAAATAGGGTCAAAAAATTATAGAAGGGCAGCACAATGAAAAAAAAAACTAACGTGAGCATTGCTGCCACATTCTTCTTGTCTGATCCAGGGAGTATAGCATGTGCAAAACTTCTCTCTACCGTCATTAGCTCATTCACTTGCGCAGGAAGATAACTCGATGCTGCTTGTGTTAAGTATCCAAACCATCCACTAGAGGATTCGGAAGATGGCTCCCTTAAAGTCAGAAAGCAATTTTACACTAGATGACTGAAAACAAGAAAAAAATAATGAAAAGGGAAATGAAATGGTCAAAATGAAGCATAACATACTGTTTCTTTTCCTGATCATCTGGTTTCTCCAGTTTGAACACATGCACTGTCTCAGTATTACTCGATGAGCACAAGTAAGTTGAGTCGGCAGAAAAGGCAAGCGAGTAAATTGTGACGCATCTAGATTTCGATATATATATATATGTATATATATATATATACAAAGAAAGGAATCGTTTCGAAGTACCAAGAGATTCAATAACATATACGATGAAACGAAAAAGAGTTAAAGTAAGCTATTGCTTTCTGACACTCTCAATTGCACTTCGAAACAATAAGCTATATAAGCTTCACCTTGACATTCCTCTTCGAAACTCAAACAGCCTTGTTCCTTGTGGCACACTGTATACGCGGATAACAGTGCCTTTTGTACTTGCCGTTGCGATCATAGTACCTAGAAATGTACGAAAAACACACAAAATACTTGGTTCATGGAAGAACTAAATAAATCAAAGCAAGAAAGGAATACCTACCATCAGAATTGAACTTCAAGCATGCAAGAGGGCCGTCATGTGCCGTGAATGTATTGACTGCTGATAAGTTCATACAATCAAAAATATGTACCTAGAAAGAAGAGCATTACGGGTTCCATCGATCTGGTAGCTGCACAACGCTCGTACAGGCACTATAAGGCAGAAAGAATTCTGCTTTCACAAAAAATTCCAAAAGTAGGATGCGAAATACGAGAAGCATAAAAGGTTCCGACTATCACGAGTGATAGAGCCGCTTCGTATGCATAACAGAGACCCGGTTTTTTTTCGAAATTCTGTGTAGAAGAATGCTTACAATAAAATCCAACCGTTGGCGGGGGGGGGGGGGGGGGAGGATGAGCTCGTTACCATTGAAATAATCAACTGTAGATTCCGCAGAAAGTTGATCAAACCAAAACCTACATCGATCTATGCAGCAAATCAAAATCTCTAATCAGCACGTCGCAAAGAATGTAGCTCAGCTTACAAACCAAACTGAATCTCTGAATAACTCACGAAACGGAGGTGCTACTTGTGAACTAAACGACACCCTCTGCTCCAAACTTTCGCCGAATGTTAGGTTGATCTGGGCAATTCAATTTTCAATTTGCTAAGCAAGGCCGAAACCAACCAGAGAAAACGAAATTTGATTAAGTGACAGCAAGATGCTCACCAATAATTGCATTCGCAAAAGTTAGAAAGGATAAATAAGTACGAAACCTACACTTCCAGCTTCTGCACTTGCTGGATAAGCAATCAACGAACTTCCTGCTGGCGAAAGATCGATCAGTCCGAGACGATTGAGTGGTGTGTCCAGGATCGTGTGCAGCAGCTAAAAATTTAATAAAGTCTGCAAACATTATATGCTGCAAGAATTAGAACCGAAAACTTTATTTCACAAACAGAAAAACAAGTAAAGTAGGGTATGAGAACAAAAGCAACATACCTTCATGTCCTTCAGAACATAAATGTGTATGCTATCCTCAAGACAAACAACAACTCGCTGAAATTCGTACAAATGATCTGATCAGATAGTGAACAGTCAACAGAGCACTCACATCGCGATTCAATTTGACGTTGAGCACTGATTTGATGAATTTATAGACACATATCATATTCTTGCTTTTGAAATGATATATGCAGATAACGCGCGGCTCCTTTTGCGAGACGATAACGACGAGTGACGAATTGAACAGTCTTTCAACGATGATCGCATCGTGAATGGCTGGAATTTTCCCGGTTAGAGCAGATGATGGTGATAAACTCTAAGTAAAGCGACTCCTAGAGCCTATTCCATCTGCGAACTTTCTAGAGATATTATAAATCGCTACATTGGACTGTATAGGGATTGCAGATAGTTAAGCTACTCTGATAATCACTGATCAAAAACGACCACAATTTACAGCTGATTTCCACTTGATATTGTATCATCGGCTCCACGATTCGTGTAGAGGCGGCGTTTTGCCAACTCAAAGCGTGGCAGTTTTTGTTAGCAAGACAGAACGAAAAACAGTGTTGTACGCGGAGGTTCGACAAGTTCATCCTTGAAGGCAGCGGCTCGGAGTCCACCCGGATGAGCTAAGTCCAAGACTGTGCTTTGCAGCTTCAAAAAATATCAATAACCCGCTTTTGCGGACGTGAAGTGAAAAGTGCTATTTGGGCGGACCGCGTATGTCTGCCCTCTAGAGCGCAATTGGCTCGTGAGTGGGAGATACCGTATCCACCGTACCCATGAGCCGATCGCGCTCTAGAATGCAGGTATACGCGGTCCGCCCAGATAGCATTTTTCACGTCTGGAAAAGCGGGTTATTGATGTCTTTGGAGCTGCAAAGCACGCCTTGGACTTAGCGCATCCAGGGGAACCGAGATTGATAAATATCCCAGAAGTGTCATTCTACCAAGACGCTGCCTTAAAAATTAGGGAAAGTCCGCAACTGTCTCTACACGAATCGTGACCCTACATACTACAATATGTTATCAGAGAACCGTTTACTACGTCATTCCCTCACTCCCATGAAAGTTTGGATGTATGGAAGGAAAGACTGTAGCGAAAGTATGGCACTTTGCATGGCCTGAGAAGCCAGTAAACTGCGAAATCTGCGTATAAGCATGGTGAAGGACTAACCTGGGGAAGAGTCAGCATTATCCACTAGAATGGAAGCTTCCAAAACATCTGTAGTTCTGTACAGAATATATCCGTTGGAATGGCCCACAGCTAAGGACCTAGGACGAAAAATCATTAAAAAAAGAAAACGTAGGCTGATGCGGACAACAGAAAAGACTAGAAAACAAATTGTAAAAGAGGTTTCTTCAATTCATCTGTCAGCACCATTACTCTTTCCTAATCTCGCGTAGAGAAAAACTTAGTTTGCAAACATCTTATGTGAAACTAGGTGACGTCTCGATTTCCATGGCAATACATTGCCACGACACAGGTCATAAACCTGCGCAAGTGATAAAAGCCACTAACCAGAAAAACTGTGGCCTCTTAGTTATGTGAATGCCTAAGCCTCGTTGCAAAAGGCGAGATGCGAAGCAAGAAAATCCCTTCAGCGGGAAGAAGCGCAAAAGCACTCTATAACAAAATCCAAAGCTGGACTCCAGAGAATATGGGAGCGGAAACCCTACATGCACAAAAAAGTGAGGCTTTTCAGCATTACTAGGCAGCGGTAGCGATCTCTCGCTTCAACTGACTTTTTGTAGCCGATTTCAAGAAGTTGCTTGCATCAAAGTCTCATCGAACCCATTTTGTGGAGACGATGCCATTGTGTGCGTTTATTTTTGAGCAAAATTTGGAATCAAACAAAATCTGAAAAGAGGCGGCGACATCTCACTGAGATTATGCAAAGGATTTTCAACACATATCCCACCTTCTTCAAGCTTGTTCGAAACAAATCTGTTGACTAAAGAAAACTCTCACAGTGCTAACACAGAAGAAAGTGAACAATTATAGGTGCTTTGACCATAAATTTCCATTTTACAAAAGAAAGGTCTGCGAAAAAATTTAGCAACTTCGTTGAATGACTTACTTCGCATCTTGATTGAAATTAACGCATAGAAGATGGGCCACGTCCTCGCAGGTCATGAAGCAAAATTATCTGCAATGTATAATCGATTGGACGTACGAAATCTAGCAAGTAGCTAGACTTTCGCAAAGGATGCCGAAAACGTCATGTACAAAGGTGTTTTGTATTTCAACACTTGGAAGGAACAGCACGCACTGGAACGACGAGCAGACGTTAATCAGCTGATCGAGCATGCATGCGGGAACTCGTCCCTGCCGACCTGGCGGGGCGATGCCGCGGCATTGCGAACGATTGATTTTCTCGCGCAAAAGAACAACGGACCCGGATGACAGCGAAGTTGCAAGAACACATCCGCCCAATATCCCTGAAGAGACTCCGAATAACCGTAGTAGTAGTAGGATAGTCTACAGTTTTTCAACAGTATAAAAAACTGTAGACTATCCCACTATATTTCATACGAAAACTCGAAATTGTGATTTTGCTTGGAATTCGTCCAGGGTACTTGCTCAGACAATTGTTGCAGTGGCCCGGTCGCCCAACTGGGCTTCGCCGTTGAGCCGCGGCACTTATATCTCAACCTTATACCTTACATATCTACATCAGGCCCAGCAGCGGCCCACAGGTGTGAGCTGGCGACCCGCGCACATAGTTGATGCCATGCTGACGGTAGCATGGTGGCTCGCACGCTTATGGCTTCGAGCAGAGTTCACGCGATTTGATCGTCGCGATTCATTCGCGACAAGACTTCTGTTACGAGTTCATTGCATGTCGACCAGCTGCATTTCGGTTATGATACTTTCCCAGCTCGAAATTTTTGAATGTTAAATGGAAATGAATGGAAATCGCAGCGATTGAATCGCGACGATCAAATCGCGTGAACACTGTCCGGGGCCTATACATAGGCTCATAATTTTACTGGCGGCCCGCGCACCCATACACGCTGCTGAAATTAGCAGCGACCCGCTCATCCATATAAATTAAAGGCAGCGTCCAGGCAGATCTGGACCTATGGGGCTTTTACGTGGAAAGTACTTTTGGGGCCCTAACTTAGGCACTGCCCAAGCGGCAGCTCATGTAGTGCTCTAATGGCTGAGATATTCCCCTTGAAACTGGCCCCCGCGAACGTATTCGCATGGATTCATGGCAGTTTCGCGCCAGGACCCACGCTTTGCGCCATAAATCCATGCGAAACACGGTCGCGGGGTCCAGTTTCGAGGGGAATATCTCAGCCCTTAGGGCACTACCTGAGCTGCCGGTGGGGCAGTGGCTTAGTTAGGGCCCCAAAAGTACTTTCCACGTAAAAGCCCCATAGGTCCAGATCTGCCTGGACGCTGCCTTTAACGCACGTTGTAAGCACAATGGTTGCTCGCGTGAGATACGACACAGTGAAAGGGATGCCATCGTAGCTTGCAGTGGTAACGCTTGTCTTTGGGATGACAACAGGTTCCCTTAAGGGCCAGGCATACTTCACGTGATTTTAGTCGCGACGGGATCTGGCCAGAAGCCTCAGTTCCAACACCAACAAACTGCACTTGCATAGTGTGTATAAGGTCTCGGGCATACCTCACGCGATTTCAGTCGCCACGCGATTTGGCAATACTCCAAATGTTCATAACTCATCCTACGGGGTTTCTGAATGTACGGAAGAGGGGGCATTCTATCAACCTACGAAAGTTATACATGCTGTGCATTTGAGATCTTCCAGTATTTAATTTGAAGACATATGGCAAATTGCCAGATCGCGTGGCGACTGAAATCGCGTAAGGTATGTCCCTTGCCTAACCTACATGGACTGATAAAATGCCCTATGTTCTGGATATTTAAAAAGTATTTGCAGTGAGTTATAGATAGTTGGAATATTGCCAAATCGCGTAAAGTATGCCTGGCCCTTTAGAGTTTATCGTTAATGGGATTTTGGATAATATCTCATGTAATTCGATCAGTAGTGTGAATGCAGGGACGAGTTCCACTGTTTTTGATTGCATTGGTTAACACGTTTCGGACCGGTGCTGCACATGGTGCAGCACACTGCTTTGAGGGACCCTTCTGACATTTAAAAAAGGTCTCCTTTTAGTTCAAGGTTATCAAGCCAAAGGCCTAAGCTTCTACTTTTGAAATGACTCTGTAGGGTTGTGCCGCCGATATTTGTTTAGGAGATATGGGCGCAAATCGTACAACAGATGGAAAAAAGTGCGACGCGAACGACGCGTGCGACGTCGCAACTGTTCTTTGTTTTGATGTCAAAGAGAAAAACCGCAGTTTCAACGCTGATGTGTACCGTTTACAACATAGATGCTTTTAGATACTATTGAAAACTGAGTTCTTGTTCCTATCTTTCAGGAAAGCATGGAAGTCCTTCTCAAGTGTGCCGACTTTATCGGCACCTTCCTTGCAACCATATCATTACAGTCCTTGTCAATCACGTGCTCCCTTTTCCGTAGGCGCAATGAGCTCCGCGCCACGTTCGCGCGCGTATGGCTCGCGCATTCAAAATGGCCTCATCGATTAGAGGTCGCACGCAGTGCCCTTGCGTTGCACATGCGTAGTTCCCATGCGAAAGGGAGTACGTAATTGATATCGACTGTACTCCTGCTAAGCACCGTAAAGGTCATGCCATAAGCATGACCTGCTGTGATATGGGTGTATCATTGCCCAGAAGTTTGTGATACTATTTTACCACGCCTTCAATCCTCAACATTCTACCACTGCACTAACACGTGCACGTCGTCTGACTCGTAAAGCTTATTAGCTATGTGTTCTGTATAATACACTTCAACAGGCGCTACTCCGCCTCAGGCTACTATAAAGCCAAGAACCACCGTTACATCAAGCGACAAAATTTAAACACTTTGAATTCACTCAGAACTTTGGGTATGAGACTTATCTGACAAGCTGATCACAAATGCAGCACACAGTTTAGTAAATAAGGTCCCTTTGTTGGCTAATGGCTGAAAACCACTATTTTTCGCCGCGCGCGATTTCGCGGTCCGAAACATGTTAAATCCACATTTGAGGTGACCTGCGCGCAGGTGCAGCCGAGCAGAATCCCAACCCTAGGGTTGCCCTCCTATGCTAGCGCGGACCAATAAGGCAAAGGAGGCACCCCCATTCTTGATTACCCCTCTGTACCAACTCACAGCCCCGCAGGTCAAACTTCACAAAAAAATCAAATTTTACCCCCTGTGCCAACTCCCAGCCTCGTAGCTCAAACTTTGCAAAAAAATCGATAAAATCATAAAAGTAACGGAAAATTTCAGAGACCAATATTGTGTTCGTAATCAACATTTTTGATTACCCCTCTGTACCGACTCCCAGCCCCGCAGGTCAAACTTCACAAAAAAATCGATGAAATCGATATCAGTCGATAACGAAGAGTAGCCTATAACACCCGGCCAGCCCCGAAGCGTATGCGTGCAAAGGTTGGTCCGGATCTATTCAGAAATAAAAGTTTCTATGCGGAACATACGCTCAGATAATCTCCAAGCGCAGGCGGTCAGCAGAATTATGGGGCGTGGCCAAACCTTCAGCAAGCGGCACTTCCTTTACTGTCTGATGTTCTGCTGGCGTGCAGCAATACGGCATTTTCTGCAAGTGCTCGGCAAATGATTTCTTTCAGCGAGCGCTGGCCAAACTTTAGCAAGCTCTCGGACAACTTTTTACGCAGTGGGCGTATGGTGGCAGAGGTATCATCGATGGTTTTGTTTCCCAAGTTTGGGGTACTTTCTCTCAGCGGAAGGTAACTACGGGCTGTGCGGTCGTTAACAAAAAACCTTGCGGCCCCAAAAATTTTGCATATTCTTGCGGAAAGTCCGCAAGAATATGCAAAATTGCGGCCACTGGGCCGCAACTATCCATAGAAAGACCGCGATAGTTCTCCGAGCGTTCGTCTGAAAACTGGCAAATTTCTCCAAGTGGACAGCAAGAAATCAGCGAACTATTCAGTGAACTATTCAATAATAACTATTCAAACCTGCGTGGCTTAAACATTATCTCATGAATTCAATACAATGCCCAGGTTTCATGATCAGAGAACATATAGAATACAGCGAACTATCTTTCCGATGCCCGCTTGCTCAAAATCCGCATAACCGCCTGCCCCCGACGATTATCTGAGCGTATAGAATCTTGGAACTTTGTGAAGCATGTGTGCAGAATGATTGGGAACCACGCGAGGTAATTAAAACTTTATGTCACACATTACACCAAAGACCTCATATCATGAGGAAGTATGGATTTGACAGTACATTACACATTCCTTTACTCCATAAAGTACATAGTAGAATGCTTGATCTACTGGGCGGGGAGCGGGCAGTACACAGGCGGGAATAACCAGGAGACTTTACGGGTCAGCACTCATTTATGCTTATTTGTCTTACACTTCGCCCTCTTTCATTCCATACTTTCATCCTCACATTCTTTTATTACTTAATTATTTCATAATACTCCTCATTCTTCTTATTATTTCATATTACTTTTGGAAGCCTTCCTGTGAACTACTGATGAGGGGCGGCAGGTTGGCCACACTTCTGGTCTAGTTCAAGCCCCGAAACCAGAGTGTGAAAATCTAATTTTGGTACATGCTGGACTTCGCATCTCAATTACCTTCAGCATTACCTCCTTATTCATAAAAAATTGCAACTTTGGTAATGTTTTGTCTGATTTGAATCACTTCTCATTTATGCAGACATCAGTACTATATCACTCAGATAATCGTCGGGGGCAGGCGGCCATGCGATTGGCGAGCGGGCACCGGAAAAACAGTTGGCTGATTTTTTTGGGGTGGGCTTGCAGAAATTTGGAAGATTTGTGACCATTTTCGGGGGGACACTCGGAGAACAATCGCGGTTTTCCTATGGATAGTTGCGGCGCAGTGGCCGCATTCTCGCGGACTTTCCGCGAAATATGCAAAATCATTGAGGGCCGCACAGTGCTTTGCTGAGAACCGCACAGCACGTAGGTACCTTCCGCTGAAAGAAAGTACCCTAAACTCGGGTAATTGAACCATCGACGACACCTCTGTTATGCAGAGTACTACTTTGCTCGGCGTACGCCCGAAACTGCGTAAAAAGTGTCCGAGCGCCCGCTGAGTTTAACTCGCGTTCGCTGAAAGGGATTATTCGACGAGCGCCTGCGGAAAATTTTGTATTGCTGCCCGCTGAGAGA